GTGAATGACATCTGGACTACCGTCACCGTGTTACAACAAAATCATCCCGAAGCCGATTCCATTAGTGACGCTGAAGAAGACTGGTGGATTTCACTCGAAACTCAAGCTTAGTGTCAACTGTCAAGTACGTGTACAAACTTCGCAGTGTCTTGCAGGCTCGTCATTGCCGCAGTCGAGCGAGCAGGTGCCTCAGCCATCTGTGGATCTTTTCATCCTCACAGTACTTAGACAACCTGGAGATGGCAAAACATGGCAATAACACTTAACGATTGATACAAAAAATAGGAACATTACTTGGAAAATATGTTCGATTTAGATATTTACAATCAAAGTCAATGTCAACACCAACCACCGTTCACAAATCTTACCTTGAGGCCAAACAGCTAAGCGGAAGGCACGCCCCTTGACGTTGATGCCCGGGAACAGCACGGGGAAAGCCCTCCACATGTCCAAAACACACTCCGCTACGCTGTGAGTTGGTAGACGCGCCTCCAGGTGGGTCAAGACTGCCGTGTAGTCCTGCTTCTTGAGGGCGAAGAACAGGGGGACTTACTGGATATGCAAGAGTAAGCTAAGTAAATAGGCTTAGCGAAAGTGTCACGGAGAACCCTGTGAAAATACACTGTCTAGCAAATTGGCTTACATGGGGCAATATTCATACAATCTTTAGCTACATTCGTTCGATGATGCAAAGATTCTTACCTTCATAAGAGGTTGTAGAATGTCAAGCTAGTCTGAATCAGTCTGAAAAACTCTGAATGCCAAGCTATTCTGACTCAGAGCTGTTTATGTATTTGGCTGGGCTGACCTGACGAACTGATAGACCAATGAGCGCCTTGATTAGGAACTTCAAAGAGTAGTCTTCATTTTTTGGTGTTTTAAGACAGTGGTGCGACTTAAAAAAATCTTTACCTATGGTACATCAGGACGGGGGGCTGAAGTGGATTATAGCTCTTTGTCCCAAACACCCTGGCTTCCAGCTTCTTGTTCAGCTTTTCATTTCTGCTTTTGCTGTCCTTTATCTCATTTGTTTTTCCTCATAACGATCACCAATGAGGCAGAATCCTTGTAGATTTAAAAGAAAACTATTGGGTTACACTCTACATCTGCAATTTGCTAATTGTAATCCTGGTTCGTTCGTGAATTTAGTATTAGTGTTAGCTGTATCTATTCATAATAGTATTACTATCAGATGCTCACCATCATCCAATTATTGTTGTTGAGGAATGAGAACTAAGACGAAGATCCGCTTGGGCGTCCACCAAAAGCCAATGGGCACTTTGATGCTAACCAGGCGGTTGTCGGCTGTTGATTTGTCGCATGTACCAGCACCCACGGGGCAGGGGTACTAGTAGTGTCGATCTAGTGAGAGACGAGAGCGTTGATATTCTATTGTACCATCTGATTTCTCAGTAGGTGACATACAGTATAGGGGGTAGTTCGCAATCAGGCCAACTGCTGTATTAGGATGATCCAACCTGGAATTAAATGCAATATGCATTCGGATAGCTTTTCAAAGGCTAAAATGGCGTCTGGCAAAACACTTTATTTTTATTTTATTTTCCGTCATATTCAAACAGGGTGACCCATTCAGTGTTGGTTATGCTTTTAGTAAGGCCCCGCATTATTCAAGTAAACAAAATAATAAAATTAGGATACAAAAAAATGATCAGGACAATGATAGTAAAGAAAATAGTAACTAATCAATAACAGTAATAAATGATAATAATAACAAGAAGTACAAATTGACATGTTCAGTCTTTCAAATTCGTTTCCCACACCTTCCGAAGTATGTAAACTTGTAAATGTTGAAATAAAGCCTCTGTTCAGGTCATGTTTTGGAATGTTTCAGATAAATTGTACTTTCACCATGCAAATTGTTACGTTTAACCTTGATTTCACGCAAATGAATGTTGTACATATCAAATCTGGACCTTCAAAAGCACACGGAAATCTGACGGCTGTAAGGTGCATCATTTTTGGTACAAACCTGTCTGGTACGTGGATTTTAAGGCGGTAGAACTCCCCCACCCCTGTTTTGCCCGTTGTTTTTGAAATTAGTTCCTTTATGGAAGCTGTTTCCGCCTTTTCGACGGTCTGTCCATTCGCCAGCCTTAACAATAGTCAACTCCATGCTTAACATTTTACTAGGGTCAACATTCTCTACTGAGGCTCTATCCGCAATAATTGCTTTCATCTTCCACTTCATTGACAGTATCACATGTGCTTGGGTATGATGGCATGTCGTGATACGAAAGCTGTACATGGCATCTCGGAATCTTTGCTTTCATGACAAGCTTTTGCCCCTCATAGACCAAGACTGGTGAGTGGCACTGGGGCTTGAGGTTGCAGGCACTGCTTTCACTTTCCTTGTAGGTACTTCCGTTGATGCTGGATTGTTGTCGAAAATGTTGCATCTTGGTCTATGTAAGAATTGGGTTTGTCTTCAGAGCCATCCTGGCGGATAAACTGGTCATTCTCGATGTACCAGTGCACCCCATAGCCTGGGAGCAGAAATTCTGCAACTCTCACAGTTTGTTCGAGTCATCCCTACGGTACTTCTTTAGCATATTGATTCTGTCATTCAATATTTGCTGCTTGTGAAATCTTGTTTTGTTGGTGGTTATTTCTGTCTTCTGCTGGAAATGTGTCCTGATAAAGAGGTTGGTGATGTACCCTGGCTTTGGGTAGGTTGCTGCATTGCCTCTCCTCAGCCATGGCCCCACTCTGAAATTGTTGGGAATGTGATCCTTCAGGGAATTAATGTAGTTCTCTATGGCATCAAATAAAACAACACAATGTACCAGGAAGCTCGGTAAACAAGCACCCCAAGAAACTTATTGTTTTCATAAAGAATAGTATGGCGGCTAGGGCACGACATGAGCACGCGTATAGTGTTTCTACAGAATTATTGTCGCAAACGAGACGGACTTAAACTCTGATTTACCTTTGGATCTGTAAACTGTATAATAATTGTTCCTAATGATTTGTATCAAATGGACGAAGCCTCGTAAAAGTATAAAACTGTTACTCGTGTTGGCCCAATGTTACAACGAATTTTAAACCAAATACCCACGCATTGATTCTGTAATAATGTGATTACTTGTAACCGATAACAGCTCGTCGTTTTATTCTTGAATTATCGTTGAGCTAGAACAGCATAAACCAAGTAGTCTTCATCTTCTTGCACAAACCGTTGAGGACAAATGCACAAACAGATAATTACAAATGTACTATGAGAATTATTTAACTTTTTTACAAGTATATGAATTATTATTGCTGGTATATTAACGACTTACCATATTTTCCACGACTTGACCCCCCCCCCGGGTCGTGGTTCTTTCTGTTCTGTTGAGCTGACTTCAAAATCCATAACGAAGTGCTTTACCCGTGGGTCCTGGGGAAGCATTTCTTTCACTTTCCGGAAAACCTATAACAACAAAATCGGTTCGGTCAATGTCGTGTTGTCATCTCATCACTGATAGGGAGGCCAAAGTGAAAGTTAAACACCAGGGGCATTTTCATGGCATGTTCAACCAGGAAATTGGAATTTCTATTATAATCCGAACATATCACCTGAAAGAACGCAAAAAGTTCTACAAGACTGCCAAGTTTGGTTTGGTATTTCCCTCGAAATCATGTTTTATCGCAATTTGAAAACCGTACATAAGTCAGTTTTCACGCCGCTCGGGCCGTCGGCGTATTCAAAATGGCGCCCGCGCTTATGTATTAAATCCCATACCCCAATTTCAAAGTGCGCGCGCCCAGAATGGGCCTAGATGTAATACTAACTTTGATTGGTCGTCGCTTCGCTGAAATAAGTCGTACAGCCAATCCAAGACCTAGGAAGGCCCATAGGTACACTTAGCATTTTTTATTCCACTTTGTATTTTCTATGGGTACTTTGTATTTTCTATGGGTACTTTGTATTTTCTATGGGTACTTTGTATTTTCTATGGGTACTTTGTATTTTCTATGGCTGCTTGTTTTTTTCTGTGGGTACTTTGTATTTTCTATGGGTACTTTGTATTTTCTATGGGTACTTTGTATTTTCTATGGGTACTTTGTATTTTCTATGGGTACTTTGTATTTTCTATGGGTACTTTGTATTTTCTATGGGTACTTGTTTTTTTCTGTGTGTACTTCGCGAAGTTTTTTTGGTGGCTGGCAAAGCGACATTCATTTTGCTTTGATGTGGATGCTCCCATTTTTATTATGGGCGGTATATTTCTGTTTACCATTCCAGGCAACTAAATGTATTTTGAACCTATTAAAACATAATATACTTTACACTTTAAGAAAATTTTGTTTGTTTTGCATGCAATGTTCCACACGTTTATTAATTAGGAGTATCAAATAGTGATTATTACATCCTGGCATAGATTATGTTAATGTCTACACAGGACCATACTATTTTCGGGGGTGCTAGGACATATTGTTCAGACTTCCGTCAACATTTCCGTAGCGATATATGGTAAATCCCTTCCTCGCTGAATGTTAATTACTCCTTTGTATTAAAAAAAGCCCGTAATCTAAAGCGAGGGTTCATTGCCAATGTTGGGGAAAAATTGCATTGCTGTTTGCTGCCCTCCTACCAACCGCGAACGTTCATCACATGCAGTTTACGTAGGAAATATGGACAATATGCCGTTTCAGTAAATAACCTGACATCTAAAACCTGACATCTAAAATTGTTGAAAATACAAAGTACCCATAGAAAATACAAAGTGGAATAAAAAATGCTAAGTGTACCTATGGGCCTTCGTAAAGACCAGCTTCTGAAAGCTAATATTTGGGAGAAACCAACTTGCCTATGCGGGGATAGCTTGGTGCAGTGCAGGGTTAGTGCGTGCGGTGTTGAAAATAGGTCATTTTTCTTCACGTAGTAACTCAAAATTTCTTAAAGATATCAAACTCCGCATAGAATGTGTGTGTAGGTAGCAGTGTTGTTCACATTTGTGTGGATTTTCGTGGCCATAGAAGCAATAATATTCGTGCGATGGCCATCGGCGCAGAGAGTGTCAGTCGGAGAGACGACGTTTTCAAGGCGCCGCCATTTTTTTCCTGCTGTCCAGAGGCATGAAGGACGTAACTTTCCGGTGAGTTTTCGACACGTAATCGAGTTTGTTTCACTCAAGCTACAGTCAAAGCACGCATATATAGTTTGTAGACATTATGTGATAGATTTTCTTTGTCTTGTACCTCGTAAATAGACGGCGAATTTAGAACATTTTCTTGTTATGTTATTGGGTGGCGGTGGGAGGGGGGCGCACCAACATGTTTCCAGTTGCAGTTTTGTTTTATAATTCATACCATTTTGGGGAAAGAAGGTTTTGCCGTATCCCGATCTCGAATCAGCCACATGTTGCGTACTTTATACACTCCTAATTTAGTTTATTTCTCTGGGTTTAAATTCATTTATTGACTGTGGTAGCACAAATTTTATTGTGTTCATATATTTTGTATTCATTACATAAGAAACTCACTAGCCATGGGGTAAATTCTTTCAGGGTTCAGAATAAAACAAATATTGTCTCTAGGATTTATTATGGTGATTTCAGCTGGGTGATTTCATTATTGCTTGTGTGTAGGACCTTTTTTTAAGTACCATGTATGGAATTCATTAATTTTTTTATGTATGTTCATTTTTTTATGTATGTTCAATTATTCATTTCCTTCTGTAATTTATCTGATTTATAGGCTAGACGAAGATGGACTTCCCACATCAAGATGTACATTCCAGTCCCTCACAAACTGGGATGTCCTGGAAATGTTCGCTACACGCAAACATACTTATGCCCTCACACCTGTAAAAAGATCCAAGCTAAGGAGACTCCTATGGCGGAGCTCCGTCACGTCGCGCTGTACAAATAGGTGAGCTGAATGAAATCACTTACACGCTATTTCACTCAAGTCAGTGACTTTGTATTATGTTGAAATAATGTGTCTTTTATTGCTAAATACATGTATGTCTTTTGTTTCTGTATCTCCAACAGAGAGCAGTGAATCCAGCGACGAGGAGACACCTCTGGCGCAGCTTCGCCATCCCAGAAGTGGCCCACGATGTGGGTTCGCCATCGCATCGGCACTATAGACAGGTTTGACTGTACTTCCCTTTCCAAAGTGCTGATGTCACATTGCTGTGTTTTCTGAATTAACTTACTTAATAATGACAACCAACTATACCCTTTTTGTGGCTTTGATTTCTGTAGGTCACGAGGACCCATGCAGCTCCAGCGAAGACTTCGGTGAAGACGACATGCCGTTGGCACACCTTGCATATAGGGAAGGAGGCACCTGTTACAAAATGCCATGTTTAGATTTATCAGTATATGTGCACTAGGGTTATTAAGACCACTGTCACTGATTTCTGCAATAGAGCATACTTATATCACATTGGAAGTGCAATTTGATGCCTCAAGTTCCATTGAAAGTTGTTTTTTGCGTAGACAGAAAGTGTCTCATGTGGGGTGGGGTGGGGGGCGGTTAGTACAAAATGCCAATTTCAAGTTCAGCTATCTCTGTTTCTGTGTACAATAGGCTTATTATTGCTATAGATTAATGAAATATAGCATAACAGTACATTGTGGGTGCCTCTACTTGTATTGAAAGTTGTCTTTTGGGTTTACAGAAAGTGTCTCATGTTGTCATAGCCTAAGGCCTAAGCCTGGGGGGGGGGCAGTTTGAAAAAAAAGCCATCTTCAAGTGTAATGTTCTCTATTTATCTATATAGTAAGTTCATTTGAGCATTATGTGAGTAGAATATAGTATTATGCCACACTGTGAGTGAAAATGTGAGCCTACAGGGCCATTAGAAGTGCCTTTTTACATTGTTCAAAAGTGGCTCGTGGCAGGTGGGGGGGGGGCGTTTGTGAAAAGTGACATTTCAAAGTGTACCTTTCTCAGGATATGTATACTATATGTTTGTTTGTGCATTATGTTAGCAAAATGTAGCACTATGCCACACTGCCAGTGAAAATCTGAGCCTCCAGGGCCATCAGAAGTGCAATTTTAAGTTTGTCAAAAGTGGCTCATGTTGCATTGTTACAGGTGGGGAGGGGGGCGTTTTTAACAAAATGCCAGTTTTAGGCATTCTTTTCTCAGGTTTTATGCTACTTTGTCTTATTGTTATCAATCACATTTGATATGTACTATGTAGTGACATTGTAAGTGAAATATTGAAGTTCTTAATGTTTTGGAAGTGGTGTTTTGAGTTGGCTAAAGTGGCTCATGTTGCATTATTTTTGTGGGGAGGGGGGCATGTGGGAACAAATGTCAATATTGGATATAGCTTATATCTGGAAATGCTCATGATGTTAAGCAAGTTTGCTTTGATTTTGATAGCACTAATATAGGAAATGTTGTATTAGGCCTTTTTGAGATTGTCGGGGATGGGAGGTATGAGATATGAAGGGACGAACATGTCAGAAAAGCATTTTTGCGAAATTTGACACTTTCATAAATTTGCATAAATTACAAAAATCGAAAGGTGAATTTGAAATTTTTTTATCATTTCATGCATTTGGAACAAAAACACATCTTTTGAGTCCAAAACCAGCCCTGTAGACCAAGAAATAAGAAATTTCATTTTGCCACCCTGTTTTTAGCTAGAATTTGTATCAGTTTTTAACCAATGTCACTAATTGCAGGTACAATGTATTAAGTATGACATGACTGACAAGGTCAGTACTGTGTATATGGCATGACCCTATTAAGTTTATTGCATATCTGCAAGAAGAAACCTGCACAATACTTAGTTTTTAGATTATTGGGTCATTTACACCCTATATTTGAGCATGTTTTCTGCCATTTTTGAAGCCAAATTTGTGACTTTTTCCCATTTTCAACATCAATAAAAAGAACTTCCCAACATCGCACGTCTCTGAAATTTTCTGTGGTTATTTACCTTGGTAAGTACTACCAGCATCTAATACCTGAAGTGTCAATGATACTTATTTCTGAAGAAATGTGCCCTCAAAAATGCTTCCCAGGAATTTTTCACTTTGGCCTCCCTACTGTTGTAACTGATGTTGTAACTGATGTTGTAACTGTTGTTCTTACAAGCACAGCTGTGTGTGGTTGACCACGGTACAGCCGGCCCAGTCAGGTGTAACCGGTGTAAGGCCTACATGTGCCCCTTTATGCAGTTTGTGGAAGGTGGTCGGAGGTTCATGTGCAGTTTCTGTAGCTGTGTCACTGATGGTAAGAAATCTGTCAACACTACAGTACTGTAAACCTGGTAAATGTTGGCATTAGTTTTAGTTTCATCATTTTTACAGTGATCTCTGTACCATCAATTCTAGATACAGTCAAACCTGCCCCTCTGGCCACCTCTTTAAGCCAGCCACCTTCTATCAACAACAGCCTTGCCCTAGTCGCAAATCTTTTTTGGCCATAGGCATTAGCATCAAGAATCCAAGAAGGCCACCTGCCCAAGAAGACCTCTTTACCTCGGTCCCTGTGTGGCCATCTTGGGCAGGTTTGACTGTAGGTGCTTTAGGTGCTTAATTTCAGTACAAAAGTCAAGTATGTAGCTAGTCTTCCTGGAGTTAGACATACATCATACAAACTACTTCAAAATTGAAACATTATTGTACATTTTGTACTAGTACTTGTTTGAAAGATTATGCTTTCCTGCAAGCCCCTTCCTCTCCACCCCCCCCCCCCCCACGTACAAGTACATTTCTAACCCCCTCCTGTCTCCCCCCCTGTAGTCCCAGACACGTACTTTGCCCACCTGGACCACACCGGGCGGAGGATAGACGTGTACCAGAGGCCGGAGCTCGCCTGTGGGTCGTACGAGTTTATCGCTACTCTAGATTACTGCAAGGTAAGTTACAATGTATCATATCCAGAACCGTGCTTGTCTAGTTCTATACCTGAATGGGTTAGGATCAGTATGGTTCTGGATAGTCTCTATCATATCCAGAACTGAGTCTATCTAGTTCTATGCCTGAATGGGTTAGGGTTAGGATCAGGCACGGTTCTGGATAGTTTCTATTATATCCAAAACCTTGCCTGTCTAGTTCTATGTCTGAATGGGTTAGGGTTAGGATCTGGCATGGTTCTGAATAGTCTCTATTGCATCCAGAACTGTGTCTATCTAGTTCTATCTCAGAATTCAGTAGGGTTAGGATCAGGCACGGTTCTGGATAGTCTCTAGATAGAATCAAAGAATGTAGATTTGCCTCATGCATGGTTCTGGATATGCAGCATGGACTATCCAGAACCATGGCTGAGCATGGTCCTGAATAAAGCATGGTTCTAGATTTAACAATTTCTGGGTGTGAGGTGGATTTCTTTTTTTTTCTTTAGTTTTTTTGTTTGATGCCTGGTGATGATTTCTGCTATAACACAGGCCCTCAAAGCAAAATACACTGGGGACAAGGTTTCCTTTTTTCTTTCTTTTTTCTCTTTTTTGTTTATTTGAATGCTGGTTTTGTTCCTGCTATAGCAAAGATCCGTGCCTGTGCAGCCTGTGTCTCAGGCAGGAGACGGCTCGGCGGAGAGCGATGTTGTAAGGACTCGATCCTCGTCGCAAACTTTCCGCTTCTAACGTTAACAGTGACATGAGTTCATAACAGCCATGCCTGTGCCGTGCACTAACCATGCAGCTGTTCCATGCTTAAAACTTGTGTCAGTTTTGTTACAATAACTTTCAGTTGTTGATATCAAAATTAGTACAGAATTTTTCCAAGAGGATTCAGTACTTTTGAGATCAGAGTTACAAAGTCTTTCTGATGAAATTTTTTGTAACAGTTAAAAAGGTTCCTTTTTTGTAACAGTTAAAATGTAGGATTCCAACTGTTTGGATAATATTAGATGAAAATATGCTTTGCTCAAGTCAAGCCTTGTGACTGGAAGCAGCAAACCTTTGCATTGGTTCTGATCTGGGAATGAACATGAAATCCAACTGCTGATGTTCATTTAATTCCAAAAAGATCACTGCTACGTTGTGCCATCGAATTTTCCTTATTATGGTCCCCGTTACTCATTATGGTCATTCTAAAATCTTACATTTTCTCCTGTTTTCAACAAACACTAGGCATTACATGTCAGCAAACCCAAGCATGATGACAACGCAAGCTGAATGGCTACTTCACACATTACATTGCATGCATACGCTACTTAAAAAAAAATTATCATTAACATGTGTTTCTCTTTTCTGTGTTACCTTTATGAATTTTGTGGGGTTTTTTCCCGTTTCCAGAATAACCAGCCCCCGAATCCGCCTGCGTTCATCTTCATGATCGAAGCCTCCTACAACAGTGTGAAGAACGGCATGTTACCACTGCTCACTAAACACCTGAAGGGGCTGCTGGACACCTTACCTAGGTACGCAGTGGTACAGTCCAGAAACATACTTTCTATGCTGTAGTTCTGGATCGTACCACTCATTTGTAGGGGTGTTTGTTCAATTTTATATAATCATAATGATGCAATGAAACTGCTTACTTGACATATCATCTACGTACACACAGACCCTATGGTGAAGTGGTCTAGCCCAAAAACTTACCTTTCTTGTCCTTGTTTCTAGAAATGTCAGAGAATGAAGAATAAGGCAATGGACTGATGTTTTTATTTTTCTCCTAGGGAAGACGGCCAGGATGAATCTTCCATAAGAGTGGGTTTTGTGACCTTCAACAAAGTGCTGCACTTCTACAACGTCAAGGTCAGTCAATGTGGACTCCTAGCATCTTAACAGATCAAAAAGTACTGATGTTAACCCTCATACATATGTTTGGAAGCACTTTTGTTTTGCAAAATTATATGTTAAGTCCAGTTTTGGTAGCAGGGTGGTCTTGTGGTTTGGGTTCTTGAATCCAAACCTTTCATAATCAAATACATTCTGGTTTGATCAATTTTTTTGATAACTTTTGATTCTAAACCCAGCATTGCTCTCCCCCCCAGGGTACCCTGGCCCAGCCGCAGATGTTGGTTGTTTCCGACGTGGCCGATGTTTTCCTGCCACTGTTAGACGGTTTCCTGGTCACGGTACAGGAGGCACGGGCAGTCATAGATAGGTGGGGAGAAATTAGACCTGACTAGGGTGTAGAGAGTTGTTAATACCTGAATCAGATGTACATGTGTTTTCTCCTTAATGTAAGCAGTGGAACATGTCCTGGGTAGTCATGGATAGGTAAGCAGATCTGACTAGGGTGTAGGGAGTTGTTCATTCCTGATGTACACATGTTTTCTCCTTTCCTGGGCAGTCATAGATGGGTAAGGAGAAATTAGACCTGACTGGGGTGTAGAGAGTTAGTAATACCTGATGCACATGTGTTTTCTCCTTAACATAAGTAAGGAGAGGAGCAGTCATAGATGGTAGGGGGAAATCACAGCTACCTGTGAGGGAGAAATTTGATAGTACATGCATTTTCTCCTAAACCAAACACGCACAGAATAAATCGAGTGAGAGTTAGTTACATGTGTATGAAAAAGGGTTTCACCTAAGTGTGTTGAGAGAAAGCTAAGTACAGTTCTGAATGAATGAATGCTGAAAGTGACCCCATGACTGATGGAATTGTACTTTCTCCCCAGTTTGTTGGAACAGATCCCCCAGATGTTCTCAGACACGAGGGAAACAGAGATCTGCCTGGGACCAGTGGTGCAGGCTGGGCTGGAGGCGCTCAAGGTACCGGACAAGTCAGTTATTCCATCATTTAACCAACCTAACAGTTACTCATGTAACTGGATAGGTTCTGAAAATGATCAGACTTTTTGTCAGGGACTGAGTGATCTCTGAGTAAGGCTTATTACTCTGATGAAGGCAGCAGAGCAAAGTAAAAGTAGTTTTGTTTAGCAAAGAAAACTTTGTTGAGTATCACTTTTTTGTTCCCATGGAAGCATGCTAAGCAGGAAACCGTTTATTTGTTGTTGACTGTTTGTTTGTATGTTTAGGCAGCAGACTGCAGAAGAGATGTTTATTGTTTGTTTGTTTGTCCAGGCAGCGGACTGTGCAGGGAAGCTGTTTGTTATTGACTTGTTTGTTTGTTTATTTCTCCAGGCGGCAGACTGTGCGGGGAAGCTGTTTGTGTTCCAGACGTCGTTGCCGCTGGCAGAGGCTCCTGGGAAACTGAAGAACAGAGACGACAGGAAACTTCTGGGGACAGACAAGGAGAAGGTGGGAACATCAGGCTATCCTCACAAGTTGTGAAACTAAAACCCCCCAATGTGAACCAGTCAGTCATCAAAACAGTTACCACTTGAAATCTGACTATTAAAACAAGAATGTAGTGTCAAATGGCTGAATGGCAAGGTGAGCAGACACGAGACCGAGAAGTCACAGATTTATTTCCTGGCTGGACATCCTCACTCCACCCAGGTGTAAAATGTGTACCTGACTTTGGTTGGGGAGGTAAAAGGCGGTGGAAGGAGAGGGATGGGCTCTGCCTTCTAATACCGTGCCCTAGACACAGTGGATCAAAAACACACTGCCCCTATGGTCTCAAAAATGCTATGGGACAAAAATACAATGGGACAAAAGTGCTGTGAGACTTAAGTTTTACCTTTTTGTCCTCCAGACCCTGTTCCAGCCGCAGATGAGTTTTTACCAGACCCTGGGGAAGGACTGTGTAGCTCAGGGCTGCTGTGTCGACATTTTCCTGTTCCCTAACCAGTACGTGGACGTGGCCACCGTGTCCGAGGTCTGCAAGCTCACCGGCGGACAGCTCTACAAGTACAACTTCTTCACGGTAGGTCACCCCCACCGCAGGATAGTGGTATGGTCCATCCCCACAGGATAATGGTCCATTCCACCCCTGCAGGAGAATGGTACATTCCACCCCTGCAGGAGAATGGTACATTCCACCCCTGCAGGACAGTGGTACAGTCCAATCTGTAGGACAAGAATGAGTCCCTTCATTTTAGCACAAGTCCATAGGTGGAATAAAAAAGATTCAGTTTCCACTAAACACAGATTTCTTCATATAGAATGATGTAGGAAATACGAGACAACAAGTTATACTCCGTTCATCATAATTTAACATCATGATTTTTCACAGTTTACATGCTATTTCTTTATATACCATTTCTTACCTTGTTCCCTGCATAGACCTCTCATCAAGCATACAGTTTTGGAAACCTAATTTTGATTTTTAATGTCTTTTATCTGTCAAGAAATAATTTTCTCCATCTCATTTCAGCCTATCCTGTAGCAGCACCTATCATAACTGTCCCTCTAACTTCTCCCAGTTCTAACCTATCTGACTGTGCATGGATGTTTTTTGTTGGTTTTTGTTTCATGTGCCGCCGTTCCTACCTTTGTGCAAAAATAGACGGAACAAACCGGTCAACACCATAACCCTATGGAGGTAACGTATTATCAGTAAAGTCATGATTCCACCCCCCTCCCACCCCTCCCTTTTAACATTACAGGTTTATAATCCCACTAATACAAGACACTAATCAGAAACTAGTATAACCTTGATCACATCCAGGTTATATCTCATTATATGGGTATCAGACTTCAACTTCAAGGGACAGTTTTGTATTCATATTCAGTGCAAATCAAATATTCTGTTTTTTTTTTTAACTATTTGACAGAGGAGGAAAATCAGGTTCAGAAAAAAAGCAATCATTTTGTTCAAGTCAGTAATACAAAATTTTGATGACACGGGCTGATCCCTTGACTTGAGTAATCACCTTTGCAACAATGAAATCTCTTGATTCTAGACATCCCAATATAGGAATTGATACACTTTCCCTGTATATCCTGGTGCTCTAATACTTCTGGGTTTAAGGTTGCTTGCGCAAATGTTGATGGACACCATGAGTTAAAACTTACCAGGAGAGTAAAAGCTGAATATACATAAGGGAAAGATGTTTTGAAAGCTAATACTGTTCTGGTGACGTGGAATTCTGGTAAGAAGAAAATGCAGAATGAGATTTCTTGTGGTGGGACCAGTGTAAAAAAAAGGGTAAGGAATGCAATGTCTACTCACACGGACACCTGTGATTGGTCAACTTATGATTGGTCAACTTATGGTGATCTGTGGTTGGTTGACTTCTAGCGATGGTTACCTGTGATTGGTCAGTAAATGTCCAACCATGTTTCTGTGATGGGCTGATGCATGGTAACCTGTGATTGGCCAGCGGTTAATGTTGCTTGTCTGTGATTGGTTACCAGGCGGTGAATGACGGTGAGCGGTTTATCCAGGACCTGACGCAGGACATCCAGCGACCAATCGTGTTCGACGCCATCATGAGAGTCCGGACTAGCACGGGTGAGGACTGAAATGCTTGTGGTTCTGTTTTTATGGTGACCAGCAAGTTTCCATCACAAATTCATGACTCTACCTACATGCGTTTCCAGTGTATCACTACTGTACAGTACTTGTCTACATACAGAAATGTTTCAATTGCAAACTCAAATCATTACAAACACTTTTATTCCCTCTCACTGGAAAATAAAACATTTCACTTATCAAGATACAAGTTAAAACTTTTATTGTAATTTATGTCCTCATTTTTACATTTTCTTGACAAATTTTTATACATGTCTGTAATTTCTGACCCTGATCCTTGTTGGTACCTGCAGATGATTTAATAATTGATTGATTAATCGATCGATCGTTGTTTCCCTGACAGGTTTCCGGCCGACAGACTTCCTGGGAAACTTCTACATGTCCAACACGACAGACGTGGAGCTGGCAGCCATGGACTGTGACAAGGCCGTCGCCGTCGACTTCAAACATGACGACAAGCTCAGCGAAGAGCTCGGGGCTTATGTTCAGGTGAGTTGTGCTTTTGGATCACATAGTTTGGGGTTCAAATCTCGCCCCAACTCTAGAGACAAGCTCAGCGAAAAGCAGGTCACATTAACTACGGAGGGCGTGTGACTGACGACTGGGACAGACGCACGATGATGAACATCTTGCAGGACTTCTACGGAAACAAGGTCCTGAGTGAGACTCACGTCTTCTCTCCATCAGGAGTCTACCACCAGCTCAGTCCTGAGGCAGATCATGGCGTAAGTTTTGTAGTACACATTAGGGAAAAATTGTTACTCAAGCAACTGCATAATTTTGAAAACTGTCAGACATTTCAAATAGCATCCACTACTGTAACTTTGACTTTGTCTTCAGACTGTGTCAACTTCCAGGTTGCTCTGTCCAGGGTGTCCAAGTCTTTTGATTACATCAGAATCTTGTCATTCACCATTTTTTACTAAACTTTTAGTATTATAATTGAAAAAAAATATGTGTAATTTACTACATATAATAATTATGAAAAATTAGGTCTAGAAATGGTAGATCATTGAATCATTGCAATTCTTTTCAATTTTTGGAGGCTCCCCAATTTTTTTGTGTTTTTCTTGCATCAACCTTGTTATACCCCTTTCTTCTTTTTGTATTATTTTGAAATAATGTAACATTTAGTTAGAGTAGAAAAATGAATGAATGAAACACTGTACCTTTGTAAAGGAAATAACTAAAATCAGAAGAATGTGAGAATTAATGTTGACCTTCTGTCCCCAGACCTACATGGCGTACATCAAGAGCCTCCCCATCAACGACCCCACGGAGATCTTTGGTCTCCATGACAACGCCAACATCACGTTTGCGCAGAACGAGACGTTCACCATCCTGGGTGACCTGGTCAGCATGCAGCCCAAAACATCCAGCAGCACCGGCAAGTCACGCGAAGAGGTCAGTGGAAATCTTTTCCTTTCCTCATGTAAAATTCTGCAATGAAATTGGATTGAGGTGTTGAAAAACTCATTCTTTCCTGGTGGAACTCGCTGTCACCAAGTACAGTAATTACACCAAGTACTGCAAGATTCTGTATGAACAACTATGAAAGAGGTGCTAGTGTCACGGAATTGAAAAGAAACCTACAGTGGGTGTCACTGGAAGACAGAAGAAAGATGTCCAGACTATGCATGATGTACAAAAGGACTAATAAACTGGTGGATGTCCCAACTACTAAGTACCTAATACCAGCCCAGAAGAGAACAAGAAATAGCCATGCCTTCAAGTACCAGAGTTATCAACCAAGGATTGAGGTGTTCAAGAATTCATTCTTTCCTAGAACTATTGCAGTGTGGAACTCACTGTCACCAAGTACAATAGGGGCATTGTCACTAGATAGCTTTAAACAAAGTCTAGAGCTAGAAATTCAAGGGTTAGGTGTAACAAGTCGATCGGTATAATATAACAAGCTGCCGCCGCGCCGCGTGCCTGCGAAGCCGGCTATACAGAAACAGTAGGGGCATTATCATTAGAGATAGCTTTAAAAAATGTTCAGAGTTAGTTGTTCAAGGGTTAGGTGTTACAAGTCCTTCGGCGTAATGACCAGCTGCCACAGTGCCGCGTGCCTCCAAAGCTGGTGTGTTACGCCGAAAGTATGACCTCCACAGGATTCCCAAAATTGCGTCATTCCAAACCAGGCATATTATGTGCCAGGTGGGACAAAATTTTGCCAAAATTTTAATGATATACCAGACAGTACAATGATGTCATGTATGTCAAAGTTTTTCCAAAACATGAATTCAAAATAAAATTCAAATTTCAGACTTGAATAATAACATTGGGTGTGAAGAAGTAGAAAGAGAGCTGTTGAACATATACTTACAGGAGTCCAGATCTATTCAAGGCTTCATGATCACTATGTTTTCTTCAAGGCATGTAAAAATCTGATTGGTTGTTCCTACAGAACATGTTAATCTGATTGGTTGTTCCTACAGAACATGTTAATCTGATTGGTTGTTCCTACAGAACATGTTAATCTGATTAGTTCTTCCTACAGAACATGTTAATCTGATTGGTTGTTCCTGCAGAACATATTAATCTGATTGGTTTTTCCTACAGAACATGTTAATCTGATTGGTTGTTCCTGCAGAACATGTTAATCTGATTGGTTGTTCCTGCAGAACATGTTAATCTGATTGGTTCTTCCTACAGAACATGTTAATCTGATTAGTTCTTCCTACAGAACATGTTAATCTGATTGGTTGTTTGTTTAGGTAATGGAGGACACGGCGCGGGGTATCCTGGAGAAGGTACCGCCGCCCGTACCGGTGGGACCGGTCATGGAGAAGTACCCGGTCATGTACGAGGAGTCCATGAACACGGTCGTCGTACAGGAGGTCATCAGGTATGCATCAACCTTGGCCTTTCAACTTTAAACTACTGTTTCCATTTTTGATTCTTGTAACCACATGTTTGAGAACAAATGTCAAATTGGACTTTATAAATGAGATACTAGGAGTATAGTCATATGTGACAGCATAACAGTGATGTTAGTTTTCATTTTCCTGAAAAATTATCATTCTAGTATGCTAATAGTAATAGCTATCCTATTCCTGGAAAATTTCTTTTTTTTTTCATTAACATTCAGACATTTCTCAGAAAATCTTGTCTCCCAGGTACAGTCTTATGAAATCAATTTTTGTATTATGTCAAGAAGTTTAACTTTTATGTTCTAGCTACTTGCAGTTTAAAAAAAAGCAAAAAAATTCAATGTAACAGTTCTATTTTCCTTTTGAGCCAGTCTTTTCTTACCTGTATTGAGGTTTAACCTAGTTTTCTCTTGTTACAGGTACAACCGTCTGCTGAACACCGTCCGTCAGACACTGAACGACCTTCTGAAGGCACTGAAGGGTCTGGTGGTGATGTCAGGAGAGCTGGAGGGCATGGCTAACTCACTCTACATCAACCAGGTTCCTACTATGTGGGCAGGCAAGGTGTGCAAAAATATGTATATTATGTTGTATGTGTATGAAATAGCTTAGAGTTTAAGCAAAATTTTTGCTGTGGGTTCGTGTGTCTCCGCACAGATCTGGAGTAGGTTGACAGCACATGAATGGGGAAGATTGACAGGCAGAATGACATGAGGACACAGGAAATGGGTTGGATGAATTTGAAGGTCACAGAAACCCAGAATTCTTCCTGGAAGTCAGATATCTGCAATTATTGTGTTCACCTTCACAGAAGAAAACATATTGTTTTTGCTCAGTTTCTTCCTCTTCCACCTCTTCTTCAAACAAATATGGTCAATGACCTGAACCAGGCGTCTGTCACCATGGTAACTAGTGTTGGGTTACATCATGTTGTTGCAATTTTATAGCAGGAGGGATTTAGACTCCTGTCACCATATATACGAATGTGCTTGAGTAAGAATTAATTTCTTGTTCTCTTTACTCCACAGGCTTACCCATCCCTGAAGCCGCTTGCATCCTGGGTAGTTGATCTAGTGACGCGTATGGAGTTCATCCACGAGTGGATCGACCACGGGATCCCTACGATCTTCTGGATCTCCGGATTCTTCTTCCCACAAGCCTTCCTGACGGGCACGCTGCAGAACTATGCCAGGTCACAGGTCATCTCCATAGATACCATCACCTTCGACTTCCAGGTAAGGATGGAACAGTTTTAAGCACCTGCAAACCTGTTTCTAACCATAAGAATATAAACTTATTTGTGATATCAAGAATTATTTGATACCTTGTCCTTTCTGTAATAAATTACTTGTTTAATGCATGGACTACATTTTATCATAATTCATAGTAGCAAAATTTTATGGTCTGAGAAAAATTGAGGTGTTCACTCAACTATATGTTCACAGTGGCGGCAGTTGCAGAATAAAGAACATTAATGCTAAGTTTGTTGTACAGAAATGACTTTGAAAACTGAGAACACAAAAGTACTGTGAAAAAATTCAGGAATTACAGTTTGTATTCATAAGGCACTCCCCCCCAAAAAACGAAGTGAAACCCGTCAGTAATGTACGTAGAAACATCAGGTAGATAATTTTGTAGACTAGCCTTTTTTTTACTTCTTTACGTTGTAATGGTGTCTTCTCTTTCTATTAGCCTTTGGGTATGATTTGAGATGAATAAATTGAATGAGACTTTAAACTTAAACTTTTCCTTATGAAAAACTTAAACTGTTCTCCAACTCAAAATTTGACTCACCAGAAATTTTTGACTGAATCACTCAGTCTTCCGCAGCTATCTGACCCAAATGCTGTGGACACGTGATTTTTCCCATGTGTGACGTCAGCAAAGGGTCAAAGGTTGTCTGAAGACGATATCACCCCCCGTCCCGGTTGAGCGATGGTTGAAGTGCCCTGTCATGTATATAACTGTTACTGTACAGCATTTGGGTCAGATGGCTGAGGAAGACTGAGTGATTCAGTCAAAAATTTCTGGTGAGTCAAATTTTGAGTTGGAGAACAGTTTAAGTTTTTCATAATGAAATTACCAACTCAGATGAACTTTCATGTTAAACTTTTCCTGACCACCAGGTGATGCGTGAGTCCATCTCGGAGTTGAAAGAGCGTCCGGAACACGGCGTGTACATCCGGGGGCTGTTCCTCGAGGGAGCGCGCTGGGACTCGGTCGGCTTCCAGCTGGCAGAGTCCAACCCGAAGGAGCTGTACACGGACATGCCCGTCATGTGGCTCAAACCCATGCCTAACCGCAAGGCACCGACAAGCGGGATCTACCTGTGTCCTGTGTACAAGACTCTACAGAGAGCAGGTGAGACATCTTTATAACTTGAGTTGATAGTAAAATGTTGAACTTTATTCCAACACACAATTTATAGAGAGATGAAATTTTCAGCGACCACACTGTCTCTAAAAGACCGATGCAATAGCTCAATTGGTAGAGTGCTCGCTTTGTAACCGGGAGGTGGTGAGTTCAAATCCCGGCCAGGTCATAACAAAGACTTTAAAAATGGTACACACTTCTTTCTCTGCTTATCACTCAGCACGTATGACACAGTAGATTTCTCCCCAACATTTGGCAACTAAATGCAACAGTTCAGACTCCATTAGTACATGCACACACTGTGCCATTGTGCACTGGGATAGACCCATCCAGGCAGAGACAAATTCTCAATCAATTCAGGTTGTTAATGTACAATCAATCAAGCTTCATTATAGTCAAAGTTTAAGCCTCTGAATGTTGCTCTCACATGAAGCCTTACACATGAAGCCATATACAAGTTACACAAACTCATGACATTCTTCCATCTAGACAAACTTTGCACTTTCTCCACAATTCACCATTTAAGCTGAATCTTGATGACTTGTACAGATGCTGATATTACCATGTGCATGAGCCAACCCTAAACATAAGGGGTTGGTGGTGTAGCCAATGTGGGTGACATGCGCATACGCTAGAAACACCATAGATCCATACCAGTGGTGATTCTCTTATGAGGGATTCAATGATTTTGTGACTTGATAAAGTAAGCAAGTAGCTAGACAATAAATCTTATAATGTTAACCTAAAACCAACCCAAAACATGCCATTTTAGAAAACAAATAAACAAAACAATAAGTAACAGTACCTACTGTTGTTGCAGATATGCCTATCAATAGTGAAATGTGTACTTTGCAACCTGTCACTCTTTTTAAGCTAAAAAAAAAAACATAAGTTTCAAATAAATGAGAACACAGAAACATCACTCAAACATACAATCATTCATCCGGGCTTAACACTAGGATAGGTATTGCATCATCAAACAAGTGCACACAAATAGTGTGGAATGTAAACAGCCTTGGAAAGCTCTACATGAGGAGACATCAGTACACAGCATTAGCTAGCAGCAGGCATGATTGTGACCTTGATGACAGATTTAAAGACACACGATGATTTGGTAAATGCACGAGTTGCTAAAATTACTAGCAGTAATAAGTGTCCAGTGTTACTCATCTTGTCTGGTCATTGACAGTGTATACACCACAATGTTTTCTCTTGAATAATAATGAACTTCATTTTTGTGCATAATATATGTACATCGCAGCAGTGTGGAATAGCATTACCCTCTGCCCTTGACAGGAACCTGTAGTGTTCATGCTGCAAATCATACCTTGCATGTAGCTGTGTCCTGTACTACATTCATGGCATATATAGCAAATATCCATCTTTGTTTGGGCTCCAATAAGGCCAAGGAAAAAAAATGTTGTGTTTCCTGTTTCGGTCCTGAAAAAATTAGGGTCGGTAGGTAGGGATTATCTTATTTTATTTTTATTTTTTATTTTTTTTAAACTTTGCTGATTGCTATGTTTATATATATAGGCAGAACATGATGAAAAATCGATTGTGCAATATATTTCTTCACTCAGGTACTCAGGTGTCAGAAGCTCAGACTAGTATTTTTCAATCTGCAGATACAAATGGAGCCATTTCCTGCAACTTCAGGTTTTGTTCTTCTGCAAAATATGGAAAAAAATCTTGAAGCAAAAGCTATTCTTGCATGCAAACACCATCATTACATATGCTTCTGATGCCATCTTGCCAGCTTTGGTTATTTTCACCTACTGTCCTGGAGATAAGATACAAGCAGGTAGGTACTAAGGTTAGAGTACACTACACTTCAACCATGTACAAAAAATAAACCAGCCAACAATGCAGGACACGAACTGCCAGAAAGAAATTTTAATATTTGGACCACACATTCAGAAAATACTGCTGCATTCTGAATTTGAAAAAAAAAGAAAAAAAACTTCTATTATATAAATCTAAAGAAAAAAAAATATCAATCTGCACAAAATTTTGATTGGTTTCTATCCCTTTGTTTGGGCCAAGGAAAAAAAAATGTTGTGTTTCCTGTTTCAGTCCAGAAAAAATTAGGGTCGGTAGGTAGGGATTATCTTATTTTATTTTTATTTTTATTTTAGACTTTGCTGATTGCTGTGTTTATATAAGCAGAACATGATGAAAAATCGATTGTGCAATATTATATTTCATCACTCAGGACAGGTACTCAGGTGTCAGATCATGGAGCTTTAAACGGTCGATCAGCTCGAAGAACTTAACAGATGTCCCTAGCCCTTGCAGGGCTAAATTCAGATTCAGGTCCTGATTCAAGTCTACAGGTTTTCAGGGTTCTCCCAGGGATTTAGGGAGAAAAAAAGAAACAAAAAAGAATTCTAAAGACTAGAAAGGCCGACATTTGCTTTGGAGCAAATACAGCAATGGCTTCACCACATTTTACGACATGGCAGGGAAAGAATGAGAAACACAAGGGAAAACAATGCTTTACATTGATATAACTATAGTATGAAGTAACATACAACTAAGACTACAACAGTTGGATAGCTATTCCCTACATTATTGGTTAGGATTTTTAATTGCATAATGCAAACTGTTGATTTTCAAGAAAAAAAGAAGTGTTCATGCCCCGCATTCCAATGCTGGAGCAGGAAAGCTTGAAATACCTACCAAAACACTTGAATACAGACATACTGTCAGTATGGAATGGATCTGAGCAGGTATTAATTAAGTTAAGCCTGTTAAATTCCAACAGCCAATCAGCAAGGAGAATAGAGGAAAGCTGCATGCCTATTGGTTGATGCCCTGCATTCCATTGTGATGAGTCATGCCCAAATGTGGTAACACTGCACACTAACTCAGTAATACATTTGCTATAACACAGCCAAAAAACTCAAATAAAACCATTCTAAAAGCCTGTATCACAAAAATTTAAAAACGCCTAGGGGTATTTGCCCACTGTACCTCCATACCAAATTTCAGGACCTTAGGCCCTAAAATGAAGAAGCTGAATCCATTTAAAAAATGGCAGGAGAAGGAGAAGGAGAAGGAGAAGGAGGAGAAGAAACATCAGAAAAAGCAATATGGGTTCACCACCACTTTGTGGTGTGGTGAACCCATAAAAAAAAATTAATCTGCACAAAATTTTAATTGGTTTCTATCCCTTTGTTTGCCTAAAAATCGATAGTGTGATTGTATCAATTTGAAACCCAAAAAAATTAGCTAAATCGGCGATTTAAGGTTATTGCGCAATGGACGTGCCCTATGACCTTCAACCTTTGGGGGTCATGCAGGCGTCAACAGCGCCCTACCCCATGCCTTGCCAGTCCGTTTTCGTGGGCAAATTTCTGCTTTTTTAGAGGTTTTGCGACCTAAAAACTCACATCAGAGGAAAAATACACCACAGACGACATTTTCATGGTAAATATCGATAAATGGACCAGGCATTTTTTTGTCCCGTTGCCGATTTTGCTGATTTTCGCCATGTGCTTACAATTTGTTTACGTCGATAGCTACCTTTCCTGAGATGGGGTTTTGTGCGCGTGAAAAATTTGCACGTGAAAAACTTGCGCGTGAAGAATCTGCGCGTGAAGATATGCAAATTAGCTGACTCCCAAGGGATTTGAAAACTTTTTGCTGTTTTAAGCTTAAAAGTTGGAAAAAAGACAAGAAAATAAAAATCTAACATCATTTTGCTTGCATTCTAGACTACATACCCTTGTTTTGTCAATTTTTTTGTGATTTCAGGTTATTTTGAAAGGTAAAGTTTTCACGCGCAAAAAAGATTGAAATTTGCGCGTGAAAGAATTTGTTTAAGAAAGCATGAAATCAAACTTCTAGAATGGAGAAAAGCTTCAGATTGTTACATTTTACCATCCTAAACCTCATACTAGTAACTTTTCCATGTATTTCTTACAAATTCAAGTGATTTTGAAAAGGTCAGGTTTTATGGAAATTATGCAAATTAGCTTATTCCCAAGGGACCAACATTTTCAAACAAAAATTTTGGCTAACAGAGGGAAAATTATACCAGAGGACAACATTTTCCTGCATAAGAATTTGCTACTGCATACCATATTTTCTAACATATTTCTAAGACTTTTAACTTTCACGCGCAAATTTTTCACGCGCAAGTTTTTCACTCGCAAATTCTTCACGCGCAGAAAACCCGTTCCCCCTTTCCTCGTCCAGTTTTATGGGCAAATTTCCGCTTTTTTAGACGTTTTGGGACTAAAAGACCGACAAAGGGGGAAAAATAAATCATATACATTATTTTTATGAGAAATACTGCTATCATGGACCAGACATTTTTCTTTCGCGTTGCCGAATTTTTGCGGCCGCCGCATGCTGATGGTGCAGTACGGTAGGGAATTTTCTACGATTAGTTCGTAAATGTATCGGCTTTTTAACTTATTTTCGGAGTCGATGGCTTTGTTTTACAAACAAATCAGACAAATTATTAGCGTTGTTTAAACGCTAGCGGGGCACCCGATGTTCTGTAATGTTCTTCCTTGGTTCTCAGATTTGCCTGCTTGATTTTTTTAATGATTTCCAAAAAAATGCCATGACATTTTGGCACCAGCAGATGAAGTCCTTGACTTTGTTGCTACTGTAAATTTTTCTATTAATCCATGCAGTGATTTGATTGAAAGTTTAAATTTTAATTAAATTCATTGTCTGAATTGTGAACCAGCCCAGTTTCAGAACTTGAATTTGTATTTGGAGTATCAAGGGATGCCAGGAGGACTAAAATTGTTTTGCCTAGACTGCATTGCTATATTGAAATTCTGCAAAAATCTTTGAAAAAATTGGTGTGACCATAGCACAACATTGTAAACATTTTCTTAGCACGCCAATCGTTGCTTTCTATACACTGACTTGTCTTCAAGACGACATTGTGGATAATCCGGAGACCAGTCTATAGCAGAATGAAGGACCAGACTTTTGTTGGCAGATCTCAACCTGAGTGTGTAAAAGAAGATGAGGTGTGAGTATGTTTCCTTACACAAGACAACACTCCACATGCACTCGCAGTTCTGACTCTCTTTTGCCCAGTTCACTCTACTCTGAGGGTCGGCAAGCCTTTTTTAGGTGAGGAGCTATTTGACGTTAATCATCTTTAATTCCATGACAACTGACACTTAAAATTATTGATCGTATATTATTATTAGTTGAATGCCAAATTGCCCCCAAAATTGTCACTTTGGACCTCTATAACAAAAGTATCGGCCACTTCAATTCCACGTTTTTATCCTGAATTCATGTTAAGCATGACACTGAAAAATTTTTCATATTTAGTTGAATATGCCAAATTGCCCCAAAATTGTCGCTTTGGACCTATACACAGTTAAATTCTCCCGCCAAAAAGCTTTGAATTAACTCCACGTTGTTACCTCCGGGTAGGGATGTATATCCCGAGCGCGGAGGTTTTGTGAGGGAAGACGAAAATTGCGTTCGCACCCGTTTCTCGCGTTTGGGTGGACGGATATGTCTGGGACTTGGTATACGTTTTGCTGTTGGGCTGTAGATGGTGCACGTTGTTTTGGTTTTTTAGTATGTGTGTTTTAGTGCGTGAAAATGATGCGTTTAGACCGCCGATGGACACCCCTTTCAGTGTTGGTCGGGCCTCAGCTTTTGACCTTTGCATGTATAATCACCATTGAGGTCGCGACCACTGATCTGACCTTTCACACAGAGGGGTGTCAGCATTCTTTGAAACTGTTCAGATGTGAACCACATGTGCCGTCAATCAACGTCTCGTGCCTGGTGGGATCGCGCGGGTCGCAGCCAGCGAACTTCCGGGTGGGCCAATGGGTCAGGGGTCAACGCCCTCTTGCGCAATTTCGGATGTTTTCGGAATACCGTGGTATACTGTCTCAGACCTTCTCGGGACTCGGTGTATCTTCTGTTAATGGGCTGTAGATGGTGCAGGTTTTTTTTGTTTTATTGTATATGTGTTTTGGGGCGTAAGATTATTTGTACTTCCTTTTCGTGTCTCGGACACCCGTTACTGTGTTTGTTTACATTATCGCTGGTCGCTGAGGGTCGGGCAGCCAGATTCGCCACGGGATGCCTCCTGTCCTTTCTATTTTTGGGCTCCAGTCGGCTAGGGGGGATTAGTGATTTCACACATCATTTAGCCAATTACAAACATTTCGAAACTTTTCGAAAAAAATGGTATTCGCGCGAATTCACTAGTTAATTCAAAGAACAGTCCCAACATGCACCCAACATTCTGCAACATACATTACAATACCCGGAGGTACAAAATCTACGATTTTCCTTGTTACTCTCTTTGTATCGTATAGTGGAATGCCAAATTGCCCCAAAATTGTTGCTTTCGACCCGTAGACTTCTATATTCTCGTGCCAAAAAACTTTGTATCTTAGTTGGCCCTTTCAATGCCACGTTGTTATCCTGAATTAATGTAATTTTTTTTTTGTGTCCAGGAAGAATTTTTAATATTGTTTAGCCAAATTGCCCAAAAACTATCTTAGCCGGCCACATTATTTTCATTATAAAATATCCTCTTCAAAATTGTTGATTTGGACCTTTATTTGCACTTAAATTGTCTCACCAAAGTCCATTTTCCCCGCCCAAAAAAGCTAATTGGCACCCTCACCTGGTTAATTAATTGGATTAAGTTTTCCCGCCAAAAAACTTAGTATATACAGCACTCTAACCTTGAACTTGTGCCCCCCTCCCCACTCTTCCTGCCCACCTCCCACACTTCTTCCACAACTCAGAGTATGTTAGTTACACTGTTCTCGGACTTCTTCGCACATGTAGTCACCACACTCTGCTACACAAACACTTGGTTTATCGAGTGCAGTTTTTCCAACACTTAGACTTAGGAATAATCTCCGGCTCTCCTGGTCAGTCAATTGCACTGGTATACTGATGTGTCGAAGCATCAATGTCTCCGAAAAGACATCCCACGGGGAGTACACTTAGTGCATTGACCAACCAGGTGAGCGAGAGATTATTCTAAAGTCTAAGTGGTGGAAAAACTGCAAGCGTCGTTGGTTTGGGCCATACATAACGCGAGCCGTGACTGAGGGGTCTTTAGGCCACACCAATTTAATTTCTCGGTTAACGGATTCGCCGCTTCATTTTTTTCTGATTTGCAAATAAAAATAAAAATCCAGAATCAACTGGAAAATGCTCATATTGTGCCCTGAACAGTTGAAAACAGTCCTTTTCATCCTAGTTGTTACAGTTATTCCATCTTTCAATGCAATGGTATCATTAAAAGTTCAAAATTCATTGTTTAAATTTTGAACCAGCCTGGTGTGTTGACTTCATGGCTCCTATCGTACCATTTTGGGCAATAATAGGATGCCTAGGCCTGTTTTTATTTTTATTTTTTTCCAAGTGAGCTCCTGGTCCATTTCTCATCGTATTTATAGCCAAATTCTGGTCCCGCGCCGAAACCTCTATACCAACGCTAAACCAAAGTTCATTGTCGACATGGATTGCTGCTTCAACGCCCGACACCGTTCCAGTAACCCCGTGTCCGTTCGTAAAATGCTTGCAACCGCTCCAGCGAAGTTTGTGTGACGTTTGATCGCCGCCCGGGCAACACTGGTGAAGCAGCGGTGGTGCAGCGTTCAAGATTTCTGCGTTGGCCTAGCGGACCCAAGCGTCCACGAACTTGCGTCTAGCGATGCCAAACTTTGACTGGGCGTTGGTGGAGCGGGGGTGTACTTTGCCGGGGCGGAAAATTGCCCCCTCCTCACCGCTCGCAATATTTTGTGCAGCTCAAAACTTTCGGAGCGGTAGGAGGGCCCCTCCAGAAACATCAGCGGTGGCCGGGCGTACACGGCGTTGCTTTAACGGGGGCCAACTTCTGTTAACGGTGGTGAACGGTTTCGAGCGGTGATGAATTTTATTCACCGTTCAAGGAACGCTCCAGCAAAGTTCGGCCAGTGTGACCGGGGCTTTAGTTACACTAGGCCGCAGTCAATGCGGCCTTAGTCGGGCAGATCTCACAGAGCAGGACCTGATTCTAAATAGATCGGGACGATTCGGGTTGTCTGCGGACGACAGGAGCAGTTTGACAGTCTGTCCAAACCATCGGTATGCCCTGACAACGCAATGGATTGGAGGAAGAAGGACCACGTGCACCCATCCAGATCACAAAGGCAAGAGAACTCCGCTGAAACACCCAAGATGCGTATCACTGTCTTTGTCCCATCACATATACACAACGTACAGAAGAGTGGTACCTGTTGGATCTGCAATATGTAATCCTTGCAGAAAACAAGCATCAAAGGATACAGAAAGTGGTGACATGGAAGAACAAGAACCAGGACCAGAAAGTGGCGACGTGGAAGAACAAGAACCGCAGGACCAAGCCAGGCTTCTGAAAGTATCATGGGGCCTTTGATGTTGAAAGTACAATGTATAACAGGTTAAAGTAATTGCTATAGTATAGTGTATATATTATTGTCTTTTAAATTTAATGCTGTTCGTTTTAAAACTGTCAATATGTAGTGGCTATCGACATGTAAAAAGAAAAAGCTTAATTGTAGCTCGCAAGTCCTTCTTGCGAACAATAAGGTGCATACATTTCGTAGATTGTAGCATTTATACACATGTGCACTATGTGTGAGAAGATTACTTAGTACATCGTCAGCTACAATTGTGGGCTTATTAATTAGTACTTCGAATTCGAGGAGATACCAAATCAGTGCGCTACTGTCTTTTCCGGTATGATATATCCCTTAAGTGATCATTATTGAGTACTTAATTTGCCTGTGGAATGTGTATTAAACGGTATCTCCATTTTTGGAGTCCTGATAACCCCCGTGCTGAGACATTTTATCATCTACCATAAAGTAAATGTGCACAATATTTTAGCAAGGAACTTACTTGCTACCTACAGCTAAGAGAACAGCAATAGAATGCGTATGATCAGCCTAATTCATGTTCAGGTATCCCCGTAACCCCCATGCAGAGTTATTCCCTTTTGAATATTTTCAAGAATATATCCCTGCAGTTCCAGAGCAAGCTGCTAGGGGGCCCAAACTCACGTCACTTCTTCCCCAGCACAAGAGCTACCCATCATCCAAATTTCGTCACCCCAGCATGTCTAGATCATGAGATATCAAAACCGGAAGTTCAGCTGCAGTACCATAACAAGCTGCTAGGGGGCCCAAAATCTAATCATTTTGAGGTCTCATCAAGACCTACCCACCTACCAAGTATCAAGACAATCCATCAAGGCCTTCTCAAGTTATCAGAGGTTTCCTTCCTGCAAGTTGAGTTTGTGTCCACAGAACCTCGCAGTCTGTGTCAAGGTCTGGCCTATGGGTAACAATTTGATCATCTCTGTTGGCCTGAAATACACCACCTCCTTGGCCAGTTTGTCTGTCTTTCCCGTGTGCTATGTAGTTGCTGGGGAATATTTCACTACTTGCTATGTTTTGGTTGAGCCATGACTCTGTACCTGCTACCGTATATCTGGCTTGTAAGTGTCAACTACTGTCGCCAGTTCAGATGTTTTGTTCCGCACACTCTGACAGTTTACTAGCAGAAGTTTACTTTTAGATCTCTTGTGACTATGACCCCTCGTTTGAGAATTACCCTGCTTTGATTTAAGTGGAGTGGATGTAGCCATTGGGATTTCGTCTGGTAAACTTGAGTCAGAACTCAGCGTGTCAAATGAGTTTACTGAATGGAATGTTTCATCAGTGATATCGAATATGGCCGATGCAAAGTTGGGTATACCACAGTCTGACAGTCACAACATACCCACGAGTATGATCGGTGGGTTTCTAGTGCACTGTATACTTGAGAACATAGCCCAATGCAGTCACTGTGGTACCATCTATCGCATTCATCACAGCATATTGCATTATGGGTGTTACGTACTGCCTTGTTACAACTCCCACATGGAAACTTTGGTGGTCTAGGCCCTGGGTTGATCTCAATATCCCCGCTTAAGATCAGAATCATGATCAGTGAAAACTTTGTGCCACTATTGTGCAATAGCATTTTCTTGCTACTGACGTGAGTTCCGTTAGCCCCGCTGTGCTTAATCATGAAAGCAAAAGTGGCCCAGTCAGATGTGCAATCGGTTCTGAAGTTGCATGTGACCTGTACTTTTTTTATCTCCTGTTTGTCTTTTGGCTGTGATCCTGGCTCAGCCCTGCTAAGTACTGTGCAAAGGGCTAGGAATATACAAGTGTAGTGGAGTTCCATTTTTATTCCCATAACCGCGGGACCCAGTCACCGCTCCTGTTATTCCGGAATTCCTTAGCGGGACCCAGTCACCGCTCCTGTTATTCCTTAGCGGGACCCTCTGTTACCGCTCCTGTTATTCCTTAGCGGGACCCTCTGTTACCGCTCTTGTTATTCCTTAGCGGGACCCTCTGTCACCGCTCCTGTACTGGGTGAGTTGCTAGTATTTCTTACATTGATGTTTCATCACAAAACTAAAAGAGAAGAAATTTTACTTTTTAATTTGCTATATACCGTCACAGACATGTCTTTTTACCTTTTTTTTTGCATCTGCAGATACTGACATCAAGAACTTCATGGAGTTCTATAGACGTGAGTTCCCCTCTGCAACCATCCCCATAAAGATGCACCTCCTATAAGATCACGTAGTGCCTTGGATACGCAGATGGTAGTTTGGTCTGGGGTTTCACGGGGAACAGGGGATAGAAGAAATTTCATTTCATTTATTTATCCAGGTGATACATATCGCCTAGTCGGCGTTTTTCAATGATACCTGGGGGGTAAACCCCAACATAGTAAAATACAAACGAAGTAACTGAGGATAAAATACAATAATAAATAAGAAGAAAATAATCACTATATACAAGTGTGCAATTAATCATAAGGTAACATAAAGAATCCAACCAACATAAATAAATTAAAGCGAAAGGAATTTGCATATCAATGGAACTTATCTCACAAGCATAAATCAAACAAAATCATATTAACTGGTAAGGAAAATCATAATGTTTGTAAAATCACTCAACCAAAATCGAATTAACTGGTGAGGGAAGAAAGTCTGGTCTTAAATGTACTGATAGATTTTGAGTTTCTTACATGTGGCGGAATACACGCTGCATTTAACAACATTGAAAGGACAACATATGGCATTGCAGATAGCACGCAACAAATTCTGTCTATACTACACAAGCACATGCTTTCTGTCAGTCCTGGTCATGTCGGCGGTGTGCCTGAACCCAAGCGGCGTAAATGATTGAGCTTTATTGGAGAACATAAGATTTCTAAACATGTATCTGATTGATACAAGGTTAACTTACTTTTCCTAATTCCTATTGTATTTATTGTAAGAGAATGTAAAGACCTGATGTATATTTTGTATAGTGCCGATAAGGTACAGGTGAACGTTACATGTAATTTACTAGTGACAACATGATTTGCAGAGTTATTTTCAGTTATGGTGGTTCTCGATTAAACTTTTTTACATGTATACAGTATAAAATGTTGTTCTGACAAAATGTGCAAAAGAAGGAATTCTATACACTATGTGTGCAAAAATGCTTGCTGTCAATTTGAACATAAACTAGTTATATATTACATGGTGACACTACATGTATACGGAGACGAGCTGAGAGTGTTATGCATCTCTCTCGTACTGGTTTGTATAAACAAATCCATAGATTAATATGTTTTTTTGTGCAAAATTGTCAAGAGAGATTTCTTCTTCATGCTTGTATGGATTTGTGATTTTATCATTTGAAAGGAATATAACATCACTAACAAAATGAGTTCTGTAACAGGTTCTTACTTTACCCAAAAGCCCCCCCCCCCCCATACTGGTTACAAGTTATGGCTGCTATATTAACTGTTACAGAATGCAAAACAAAATACAAAACGCCCATAAAAGACACTTTGAAGGTACCTTAAGTAGTGAAAAGCCCCAAGGACAGTTCAAAATATATGGTAAATATAGCAAACGTACCTTTTTTTTCAGCCTCCACTGCAAAAAACACAGGATCCTGACCATTATCAGCTGGCATCCATGTTGTAAACAAAGCATTAAACTGCCAAGTTTCGAGGCTGGGAAAACTTCCCTTCACCCGAAAAACCTCCAACAAAGTCTTTGTATCTTCCTTCAATTCCCAGGGGTGGGGGGGCGCGCGATTTTTTGCTGTACGTTGTATATTTTGTGGATTTTCAGCCAATTTTCCCTCTGAACTGTCAGAAGGCATCATGGCTGCCCAGTTGAGCTGGGAATAGGACCCTCACGTGATACAAAAGGGCCACAATGATTGGTTAAAGTAGGTAGGACCGCCGAACTAAAGTGATGCAGGGAACGAGAAACCTTGTCTCACTACCGCAACCTTGTCTGTGCCTATTGGTCTGGGGAACAATCTAAGGGGGGTTAAAATCATCTTTATTCCATACAAGATGAATGACATATTAAATACATAGCTAAAAACCTAGGACAATCCTTTGTCTCATGTTTAGGTAACAAGAGGAGGACGCAAGGTGGACAGACAAAAATACAATATACTAGTCACTGTGTGCATCGGACGTACAGACATTCTCTATTAAAAATTGCCATATATAATTATAATTACGGGTACATTATATAACAATTACAATTTAGAGTTCTTAAAAAGGCAGCAGCTAAATTTTACATCTAATTTTTACAGTAGAACAATCTTTATCTTTTATGTATCACAAAAAAAAAGAAGTCAGCCATGTTTATTAATTTAATAGAAATAAAGTTGCTATGACTTCATTAAAGGTAATAGATTGAAAAGATACATACAAAGGGTTTTTCCTATTTAATTTTTATTTCTTTATGTAGCATAACCATTCCTTGGTGTAACACACTAGTTAGCTTCGCAGACATGCGGTGCAGTGACAGCTAGCTATATTACACAGCATGACTTATTGCATCAAACCTGTCAGATCACGAGATATGAAAATGGGAAGTTTTGTTGTATTACAAGTAGCCTGTGTATACAAGCTCTCGGCCGCCAGGAAGGTTAAAAAATTCTAATCTTTGTCCACCAATACCTAGCTCACTGCCCAGGTTTTGAAAACCAGCTCTAGTTGTTCATGCATTGGATACTTGTTAACAAGAGTTCTGCGATCTCATAGCTTCGCCAAGTGATGTTAACCCTTGCAGTTGACGAATTATATAATTTAATCATCAATTTTGTAAATAAATAAGAGCCTCATTTGCATGGATTGTATCAGTTCATCATATTCAATTTCCACCCAATGACAGACTTATTTCAACAAAAAGGCTATTATAGCACTTCTTTATAAATTATTCAAATGAGGTCATAATTTGAATAAATCATGTTTATTGATGTTCAGCTTCACTTAACTTCCAAATGTGGCAAGTATGAAATTCCCAACAGTTACAACTATGAAATTATAAAAATTTGTCATTTATTATGCAAATTAGGTCCTTATTTACATAATCTATATACTCAGATGTTTTATCTCGTTCTCAAGTAAATGTAAACCTCCTTGCACAAACTCTGCTGAAATAAACTGTATTTCAAAACAAATTAACAGCTTTTATAGATTTAAACATAAACAAATTTTGACTCTTTTGAAAGCTGTCTCAATTTACCATCATCAGAGGGCTGAGACCGCGACCCATCAGGGGGCACATATCATACATCATCGGTGGACGGACGGATACTAACGTTACGGTAAATACGGTTTGACCTTTGACCGTGAGATTGTATACAATATACAGCTAAAGAGTGCAACAACAAAACAATTTCTTGCCATTTTTTCTTGCCATCATCACACACAGTTCAGAGAGCACCGGTCATTTGCACCAAATGCCACAGGTTCGCGACGAACATGAAACCATCGAAATATATCACTTCCTGTGGGGTGAAGCAAATTATAATAGACTAATTACTAAACGATGAATACATCTGCGTAGATACCTTTCCATCAGGTTACCAGTTATGATTCCTACCCACCTACCAGGTTTGCCTGACAGTGCTGGCCAACATGAACACATTGTGACAGTCAGCGAGCACGCTGAAGTTCATATCGTTGTCCTATATAAAACGGCTGCCAGGTACTACTGTTTTCCCCGTCACGTTTTCCCAAACCGACACTATTAGATCTAGCTTAGTTTCACCTTAAAATGACTGCCGATACAGTTGTTAATGATTTTGAATAGAAATGTATGACTGTACCGTGAACATGTATGGTGTGTCCGCAGACTACAGACATGTGAGGCTTTTCCACTAGCCGGGCTATAACTGAAACAGGTATGGCAATCTACAATAAGTTGCTATCTACAACTACAGGTTGCTATCTACAATAAGTATAGAAAATGGATTCGCCAAGAAGGTTATGTTTTCAGTAGCGTTTGTCCGTCTGTCTGTCCGTCTGTTTGTCTGTGAACAGCATAACTCAAGAAGCTTAATATGCGGTCATAAAACTTGGTAGGTGGGTAGGTCTTGATGAAACCTAGAAATGATCAGATTTTGGGCCCCCTGGCGGCTTTTGTTGGTACTGCAGCAGAACCGGTTTTGATATTTCGCGATCTGGACATGCTAGGGTCACGAATTTTGATTGGTAGCTATAGTACCTTTTTATTATTATTACCTCCATGAAAAATGGAGGTACTAAGTTGTTTTTGGCGTGTCTGTCTCAAAAACTTTGTGGTCAACATAACTTCAGAATGCCTTTATGGATTGCGATGATATTTGGTTTGTTGGTAAGTCTTGGAGAGACAAAGGTCAAGGTCAAATATGGGCCTCCTGGTGGATGACCTTGGTACTGCAGCAGAACTTCCGGTTTTTGTATCTTTTGTTCTGAACAAGCTATGGTCTTGACTTTTTGGTGACAGATAGCTTATCCTGTCAGAAATAAGTGGCGTAAGTTTGGTCCCCCTAGCAGCTTGTTCTAGAACTGCAGATTAGTTTCTGGTAAAAACTTTCAAAGCCAATAAGTCCAGATTGGAACAACGCATTTTCATCATTTTTGGTGTGTAGGTACCTGAGAGAGAGAGAGAGAGTTGTACAATAAGGACTTAATTTGCATAATTGCAGATACCAATTATGCAAATGATGACCTAATTTGCATAATTAATGTAAAAAAATTGTGACGCCTTATTGGTGAATGATGGGAATTTTATACCTTGTGACATGTGTAAGTTACTTAAAGGTTAGCACCACTATGCATATATTATGTTAATGTAGAGGTATTTGCATAATTAATGAGGACATGTTGAAATGAAGTATGACAAAGCAAGCCCATATTTCATGGAGGTATGAGATCTCAGAACTCTTGCCTGGCCCTGCCTGGCTCCCACAGTACAGTCATTCTGAGCCAGGCTGGAGGCCTGCCTGCCCTAGCCTTGGGCATTGCCTTCCACTAACTTTCACCCTGATTGGGTTACTTGGGGGGTAGAACTAAACCATTTATCTAAAAAGTGTGATCATGAGTGTTGTTTTAACTTCAGTTGCCATAGTTTGCCTGGTAACACCCATGACAGAACCCAAAACACCTGGAGTTTCCATAGTTCTCACAACCCTCTGCCCTACAATTTTTCAGGGCACTCAACTTTGTTTGCTGCTGAGTTACACACTTCTGATAAGCGGCCTGCGGCTCCCATTTGGTGGCAGCCTGCTGTGGTGTCATCAGACTCATGAACTTCTGGAAACACGGAGCACACAAGTTCTCCTGGTCAGGATGACCGTCATTGGGGCAGTTAGGTGTGGCGCACGGTTGTCGGTTGTGGTAGGCTGGTGGTGCGTAGGTCGGCTGGGGCTCAGGCACTACTGGATTGTAGGCTGGTGGAGGATAGTAGGGACCAGTCTGAACTGTACCATGAATTACCCCAGGCAAGGAAGAGGAGTCCGAAGGTTTGGCACAAGATGTCTTTAATGTACGCAAGATGAGAGTCACAGACATCGACGGCCCAAGGCTAATCCTTGGTGCTGACTACAAACATGTTGGGTGAGCCTGCGGTGAGAGGCTAGATATTAAGAGTGGGGATGCTTAATGCAGGGCCCAGAGTAACGCGCCGTTACATGGAGTGTTCGGTTACTGGTCGCTTCGTAAATAATAATAGATATAAGAGTAACGATTGTTAAGCTAAGATAAAAGAAATGCACTAAGAGAATTAAGAACAGCCTAGACGTCTGTCCTTTAACATTTAGGTAATGGTTGTTAGTCAAGAACGATACGTATAAGTATATTACTGCTCGAGGGCGGTAAGCTAAGCTACGACTAGATTAAGGAACTTAAGCTACTTTCTATTAATAATAAATTTGTAAAGTTGAATGATAATAAAGGCCAACGGGCCTGGCTATCACTACGGGTTTAAGAACAAGTGTTCGGAGATTTGTCTGTAAGCTAGTTTGGCCTACATCTGGTGCTACAGTCTGTGGTGACCACCGTGGTAATGAAAGAGTTCTGTGTTGCGTAGTGATGTAGAAGTTGCTGGGGTGGGCTGGTGGTTTCAGCAGAGTTCGTTGTGACACGTCCTCGTCAGGGTTGCTACTGCCGACTGCAGAGAAGGAGCCTGGCTAGCCGTCGTCACACGTGACTAGTAGCATGCACTGTTCTGGTGAAATTCCCTGGTATGACCCCCATTGGGACGCCATACCACCATAATTACCCCAGGCAAGGAAGAGGAGTCCGAAGGTTTGGCACACGATGTCTTTAATGTACGCAAGATGAGAGTCACAGACATCGACGGCCAAGCCGAGCGTAGTGAGGTGTGTGCCAAGAAGCGGAGGAGAGAAAGGTAAGTGGTGAAGTTCACGCTGTGCGGAGGAGGAGGAGTCGTCTCATGGCTGCTGGAAGTCGTAGGCGTTGGGCCATGGACAGTTTCAGGTAGAGTAGGTCCGCGTTCGAGCGCCAGTCTCCGTGATGTTGTCGGAGTTCGCGTGGGACACCCGCTTCGAAGGCCAGGGTGTAGCCACCGCGGCGTAGGTCATGTATCGTGTGTGCGTCTGTCGAGAGCCCGGCTTGTGTGAGGAGGCGCTTAAATGACCTGTCGAGGATGGAAGCTGTGACAGGTCGGATGGGTTGTCGTGCGGTCGGCGGCAGTATGAAGGCGGGGGAATCCGGGCCCGCAGGGAGGAGGTGGATCATGTTCTTGTATGCTGCGACGGGGCACAGCGGGGAACCTGGGATGGCCAGGATGGGCGCCAACAGTTCTCTCTCGTTGGCCTGGATGGTTTTGGACCACGAAGTCCGGAGAATCAGGCCCTCTGGGGCAGATGTGATGTCGCGTCGTCGCAAGTGTTTTCGCGGATCGAAGGCAGCAGCCGAGGGCGGCACGAGGTTTGACTTTCTGAAGTAGGCAAAGAAGCCAATTAGCAAGATAGTCCAGATTGTCGCGTCCTTGGGTTTGTTGTGGTCGAGGTGTCGTTGGAGAAGGTGGAGAAGTTCCGGGGTGACTGGTCGGGCTTCTCTGGGTCTGTGTTGGAGTGTCTTTTTCAGACCCCGAAGGGTTTGCTTGAGTTCGAAGGCTTGTAAGTCCAGGGTGTGGAACCCGTTGAGTTGATGGAGTAGTTTAACGGCGGAGAGGTAGTGAGAGATGCTGTCAGGTGATTTCAGTGACCGACTGAGGAATTGTGCGTAACATGCGAGGAGGTGCGCGGAGGCCGGAAAGGCTGGTTGGTTGAAGTAATGGCAGAAGGCGAGGTAGGCTCTGAATTGCGTGCGGTGATTGGCCTGTGTCCCCACCGTGAAGGCGTGGCGTTGCGTCTCCCGGGTGTCCTGTTCCAGCAGCTTCCAGTCCCGAACTGTGGGGAAGAGGGAGAGAGGGTGAGAGGCCATACCACCATGCCATACCACCATGCCATACCACCATGCCATACCACCATGATAATCTGTAAATATAAGGACTTAGGGTTAGAAATAACATAGCAGTATGTTGGCTTCATTGTAAAGAAGGTCTACTTGGAAATTATACTGTCACATCCAAGAAAACTCAACTCCACTCCTTTTCATACTTTCTGCTTGTTGTAACAATGTTGAAAATGTTTCTTGTTGCTGGACACTAAGTACATAACATTTGACATTTGAAAATAAAAACATATTTTCCTATGTTTTATGGTGTTTCTCATTATGTACGTAGCAAAAGAGATATTTGAGTGTAAAGATTTGGAGATTGAAAATGTCTAACTCTATTAAAAGATACATGTAATAGGTAACCCTACCCTTGGTGGATAAGCCGCAGGCGGCTCCACATTGGTGTGAAGGTTCTGTGCCCGGTGGGCCTCGATGTCCTTGGCGCGGTGGACCTCCGCCAGATGGCGCAGGTACTTGGAGCACATGTTGAGATTGTCCGGTTCACCGTGCATGTCACACCCGGGGGCAATACACCGCTGTCGTGGCAACCTGGCAGCGTAGTGTGAAGAACCTGGACATGAAATGAACAAGGATCTTGTGTTAGACACTTAAACACAACTGACAGTAAATTTGGACTGTGCTCGCTATCACCAAAGAATACAATGAAAGGGTACTGAATGTTTGGTTTGTAGGATTCAGAATGTCTAGATTAGCTGGCAAAAGAGAAGTTGGGAACAGGAAGCAATCCAAAGTCAGATTCAACTCAGCAGAGGACTTAAATGTTCTCTAAATGATCTTCAGACATTTACAACTCTTTATCTGACCAAAATTTGCAACAGGGTCAACATTACAGTTCCTTAGCTGCAATCATATTGACAAATATAACATAATAATTATTGTACTTTAATTGACTTAGACATAATCAACTGACCAGCAACTTCAGCCAGGACCCTCAGTGGTGTCTCTTCTTGGTGCTGATTGGCTGGCTGGGGTGGGTGATTGACAGGAGCCTGCTGATTGATGTGTTTACCGAAGCACTGGAAGCAGAAGCCCATCTGTTCCTTGGTGCCGAACATCTCACATCCCAGGGCTGCGTTCACACACGGGAGCTGGGGCTCGTCTGGTACTTGGATTGTCGTCCTGGCAACTGACACAGTCCCTCCTTCTTCTGTTGTCACGGTAACGTTTCCAGGTGTCACGACCACTGATGCTTCGTGGCCTGCTGTGATGATGGTGTTGCCAGCTGGCAGTTCATCCGATGAGTGGTGAGGACCATTGGGCAGAGCACTCGGTGAGGCAGCAGGCTTCTTGCTGTGGTACTCTTTTAGGGTGTGGAAACACTTGGAGCAGAGCCCGTTGTACATGGCATCTCCGTAGGCATCACAGTGAGGTGCTGGACACTGCTTCCTGTCAACCAGCGATGGAATGGGCTGCGGAGGCTGCGGATCTACTGCAGCTGCTGCAGCTACAATGTTGGTAGGAGCTGCAGCAGGTGGATCTGAACTGCTGCTTGGAGCTGTAGGTGATTTTGTTACTGGTTTTGGTGTTTGTGGGATCTTTCCCTTTTTCAGACACCAGTAACATCTGCCACCAGTGTTCTCAAGCTTCATATTTGTACATCCCTCAATCAGACACTCTGTAGAATTGTTGTCCCCAGTCTGTGGATCAATGGGGCCAAGAGGGAGGGTTGAAGAAGAGGACATTTCAAACCCGAGAGGCCTTGTCTCACTTTGAGTGGAAATCTGGGGGTTGGTGCTTCCTTCTGCACCTGTGGGCACAAGTTCTTCTGGTCCAGAACTTATCAGGTTGGCTGCTGCTGTGCCTTTGTCAGGAATTCTTCCTGTGTTACTGTCCTTGGGGTAACATCCATGACAAAGACCATTGGTTGTCTCGTGGCCGATCTTCTGGCAGTCTGGTGTCTTGCACTTCTTATAGTACTTTGCTTTGGTCACGTCATTGACTGTTACAATTGGGTGAACCTCTTCAGCAGGCCGTTGGGGTGCTGTGGCCACAGTTTGCTGGGTTGCTGCAATTTCAACTGCTGGTTTGGGTCGGGATTTCTTTCCCAACTCTATCAGGTAGCACTGAGAACAGTACCCATCCTGGCCTGGAGCACCAAACATCTCACATCCTACAGTCATGCAGGTGGGGGACCCTCCAGGTGTTGATGTCTTGGCAGATGTAAATGTCGAACTCAGGTGAGTCAAAACTGTAGCCACAGTTGTGACAGCTGCAGCAACGGCACCAGCAACTCTGCCCTGTTGGTCAATGTAGCAGTTCTTACACATGTCATTGGTTTTGGGGTAGCCTGTCCTGGGGCATTCTGGGATGATGCACTTGGTTGGACGAGTGAAGTCGCTGATGAGGCCCAGACTCTGACTGTTGGTTCTGTTCTCCACACTGTGGAGTGGCTCTGGGGTGGTAGGGATGATACCCAGCCTGGAGGATCGCTCAGTTTGCTTGAGTGGATGCACAGATGGAGGCTGGCCTGACTTTGTCACAACGTTGATGAAGCAGACATCACAGAGATTCTCATAATCAGGGTTGCTGTCATTGTTGCAGCGTTCAGTGATGCATTTGTTCGGGTTGCCAGCTGGTGGCTGAACTTCTTTTTCAGTCTGAGTGGCTCTTCCTGCTTCCACCTCCCTCCTCCGCTGATCACCAGTATTTTTCTCATAACATTCATGACAATATTCTCCAGTGGCAATAGAGCAGAAGTACTGGCACCCAGGGGTCCTGCACTCCCTCATCAGCATGGAGGAATTTGGAACAACATCAGCCGGCAATGCCGGAGCTTCAGCTGGTCCTGGTGGCTTCTTGGAAACTGTACTTTCTCTGAAACATTTTGTGCAAAGTCCGTTTTGCTCAAGTGTCCGGTACATGTCACAGCCAGCAGAGCTCAATTTCTTCCCTTCAGTTTTCTCTTTCTTCACAGCTGGTGGTGGTATCTTGTTTGGAGCCACTTTTTCTGGTTCTTCAGCTTCCTGAATCTCTTCTGGCTTCTTGTAAAATTTCTCCACTGCCTGGAAAAAGTCTTTGATGAAATCTTGCTCCTCAGGAGGAGGATTTAGGTTCAGCTTGGCTGCCAGGACCATGGAGATGGACTCCTTTCTTGTATACGGCAACTCCATCAGATCCAGGTACTTCTGTAGAAGCTCTTTAGCCTGGTTTTCTTCATGCTCGAGTAGAAATTGTACTGTTAGCATGGTGAGGTCATGTTTGACCAGAGGGACTGCAAACTCGCCTGTAGCCAGACCTATGGGTGCTGGTGCCTCCTCTTGGCTCAGTAAGGGTGTGAAGTGCTGCTGCAGGTACCCAAGCACTATGGGAGATCTCACACATTCTTCAGGCTTCCAACGCAGAGGGAGATAGATTCCACTGAAGTGGATCGGTGCGAAGATGTGACCCTCAAAATTGTGCAGGACGTCTTCTGCAAGGATGATGATCGGTCGACGAAGAAGATTGGCCAGGACAAAGATGTGGAACTCTTCAAGAGACTTGTAGGGGAGGTCATTAGCCTCGGGAGGGTTTGGTGTGGGATCTGTCATCGAAACTACAATGTTCCACTCCTGTCTCCATTCCTACAAAGGAACAGCAGTACGTACAATATTGTTTAGAGACTATTGAAACAGTAAAGCAATACATTTAGCATTCCCTTTCTTCTACTCTTAAACTTGCTGGGCTTTTTTTCTCTCTGCTGTAGATTGAAGTGAAATAAAAAAAGGGGAACTTTTTTTCATGCCAGTCCTTACCAATGAAACGTACTCCAGGTCCACATGCTGGTTGTGAGCTTTACAGCTGCGATTCCAGCGTCTCTTCATGTCTTCGGTCATGTCAGCCACCATGGTGCGGTTTAACAGCATACGGAGGACCAGAGCTCGGTCGTGGATCCCCCACATGTACTGGGACACTGCATGGAGCAGGCAGTTCCCATCTCCTGGACATACATGAAACACACAGAGATAAAACATTAAGGGTGGTAGAAACAACATTTAATTTTTTTTTATCTTTGAACTGCAAGTTCATCCCTTGCAAGAAAATCCTTCCACACAGGACATATGAATAAGGTAGCTGACTACACGAACATGAGATATTATGGGCATAGAATCAGCTACGTGCTCTAAAGAAACCCTAAGGAGAATCATGACAATGAAACATCCTGCTGCAATAAAGAAGCTGGTCATGGTTTCTATGTAAGCAATGAGACCATGTCCCCTATTCTTTGTTAACAATAGCATGAAAACAAAACCAACGAATAAACGAACAGGTTATGTATACATCACATGTTCTATTTTAAGGTAGGTATTGGAAGACTGAAAACTTACCTGTGTTCTGTACAGGTGTCAATGGTCTCGAAACTCTGCACCAGTTCAGCACTTTTGCTTCTTCCAAGGTTTTCTGCATAGAGGCAGTAAGAAATGTCATGTAATTGAGCAATTATATTGTTTGCACTACGGTGACTTAACTTAAATATTTTAATGGTTCTCTTAATAACACAACAATGTAATCTTTATGAAATAAAGACTAAACTTTAACTTCCAACACTCTATATATAGAATGAAGAATCAAGGATTTATATTTGACTCTTCAAGATGGCGCCCAAGATGGCGACGTTGGCTTATGCAGCTCCCTAATCCGCGTTACAAAGGGCTGTATTCAGAGTATTACTCTACCTGCAACTTAACCCCTGCGTGAGAGAAAGATCAGTGGACTGTATACCGTGACTTTTTAGCTTGTTTGGGTGAATGCTGGAGCTTGTTCGGCAGCAGTGAGCTCACTTGGCGAAGCTCTCCCTGACTCGTCTGCCCCCCTCCCCCTTCTCCACCATGCCCAACTGTGAAGACTGCCGCGCCCCAGAAGCGCAGACCTGCCAAGGCGACTTAGTCCTCTGCTCACGTTGTGTGAAGAAGCGCTTTCCACACAGCTCCAGAGACTCTTCTGCTCAAAGTAAGCCAAATGATGTATTCATCAATGATTTGTTGTGCTTTACTGTCAACAAGATGGACACTCTTCCCACCGATATAGTTTCGAAGTTGTGCATCGAGACTTATACGGAAGAGGAAATCGAGGTGGCTAAGAGACTTGTATTTGACACATGTAACCCTGATGAACGGTACAAGAAGCGACAAGGAGCCAACAAGTCTACAGCCAATATGGCGGACATTTTGTGAGTCCTTCATTCTACGGCTCCTCCGTCACTACCTACCTTTGTGTCTGCAACTCTCCACCTTCCCGCAGTGAATTTTGAACATGTTGACATATCAGTCTGCCTGCAAGAGCTTCAGATCGTGCGGCAAGAGATGAAGCTGATTAGAGACTGCTCTATTGATTCGGTCAAAGTGCAAACAGAGCTGATGTCCCTAAGACTAGAAGGAGATTGTGGACTTGAGAAATAGGGTGAATTCAACTTCGCCTACAGTGTCAGTGCCGTTACCTGACAAGCACACGGCTACCTTCGCCGATGTTGTGTCGGTCACTCGTCCTTCATCCGGTGCACGTTCTTTAGCTGGGATGGCCCCCGCAGATGGCATCTGTACTCAAGTCCAGGGGCACGTTGACAAGGGCACGTTGACAGCTCCTAAAGCCCTGTTTGAAGGCGCTGCGCCCAAGCAGGCAGTTGTAGTGAAGGCGCCCAACCCACGGTCCAATCGCTCCAGACGATCCACCACAGGTGCCTCTAGAGATACTAGTGACACTAGAGACACTAGAGACACTGACTCGGATGGGTTTCGACTAGTCGAAAGGAAAAAGTCTCGCCCCAGGGCAGTGGTTGGAACTGCTAACTCAACCACGCTGACTGCGGTTAAAGTAAGACCCGCTGTGATATTTGTTTCACGGCTTGATCCGGACACCCAGCCTAAGGACGTGGAACGTTACCTGAACGACAACCTGTCAAGGAAGTGCGCGATTTCATGTGACAGACTTCAGACTAAGTATGACTCATATATTCCTCGTTCCGGATTGCTGTGGACAGTTCCATTCTGGCTGAGGTCCTGTCTCCGTCGTTTTGGCCCTGCGGTTCCTTGGTTCGCCGGTTTCATGGTAAACCTCGCACCTCAACATCATAACTATGGACTTTACCCAGAATCTACGGATTGTGTCTTACAACTGTCGATCTGCCAAGAACTCTCTTGAATCCATTAAGGAACTTTGTAAGTCTCACGACATTGTTTTGTTACAGGAGCACTGGCTCCTTCCTAATGACCTCTCTTATTTGAGCAGCATTAGTACTGACTTTATAGCCTGTGCTAAGTCTCCGATTGATCTTGAATCAGGGGTGCTACAAGGGCGCCCGTTTGGGGGTGTGGGTATATTATGGAGGAAAAGCTTGTCTTCTGTCGTGTTTCCTGTAGATTTTGATGACGACAGCATAATTGCCACTCGGGCGATAGCCAACTGCTCGTCGTGTGTGTGTACATGCCATATGATACTCCGGCTAATATGGACATATATCTTGAGAAATTAGGTAAAATTGAAGCACTTGTTAATGATATTGATTCTTATGCCTCTGTGATAATTGGTGATTTTAATGCCTCCACTACCAATAGGTATGGCACTCTGATTCAGGAATTTTGTGAGGAAACAGGAATGCATATATCTGATATGGAGTACCTCCCCGAGGACACTTACACTTACCTTAGTGATATGCATTATTCCACATCTTGGCTTGACCACTGCTTAGCTAGTGACACAGCTCACCAAAATATTACCAATATTCAGGTTCTACATGATTTTGTTACTTCTGATCATTTCCCCCTAAGTATTACGTTAAATGTGAACTTTCCCACCGTGTTTCATAATCAACATAACTCTGACTTTCCTCTTAGGATTACTGACTGGACTAAGGCGAGTCAGGAACAATTAGATAGTTACTGCATGGAGGTTTTTTCTACCTCCATGGTTACTGTCTGACCTTGAATAATCAACTTTCTAAGCTTGATCTGCCTGTTAGTGCCCTTGTTTGCAGGGACCCGAACTGTGTTGATCCTCTGCACAGAAATGCTCTTGATTCACTTACTCATCAGCTGATCTCTGCTATGAAAGACTCGGCAGATATTTCACTAAAATCAAAACACAGCTGTAGTAACTTCAAACAGGTGCCAGGTTGGAATGACATTGTGAAAGACCTACATTCTGCTGCCCGGGAAGCTTATGTCTTCTGGAGAGAAATGGGCCGACCACGGTCGGGTCCCTTTTTTATCCTCATGTCCAAAGCCAGGGCAAGATTTAAACTCGCTCTAAGACAATGTAAACAACAAGAGAGCAGAGCTAGAGCTGATGCTACTGTTAAAAGTTTCTCGGTGGGTAACCGTAGAGAATTTTGGAAAAAAGTACGTAGTGCTAACTCCCCTTGTACTGTTTTACCAAACACAATCGATGGATGCTCAGGTTCGGTGAATATTGCTGATCACTGGAAGAAGCATTTTGAAAGTCTCTTAAATTCTGTTGATAATCGGGCTCACAAGCCACCTGTGATGTCTGCTATGTCACGTGCATGTGAATTTGATTATGATATGCAAATTACAGTGTTGGAACTTGTTAACATCATTAAGGAATTGCCCAATGGAAACGCTGTTGGCTCAGATGGTATCTGTAATGAACATTTGAAGTATGCGGGCCCAAGAATTTGTATTTATCTTTCATTGTTATTGACATCTGTTATTGTGCACAATTGTATTCCCGATATTTTGTTGGATACCATCATAGTGCCTGTCATTAAGAACAAATCAGGTAATATTTCCAGTAGTGATAACTATAGGCCGATTGCCATTACCTCTGCGCTATCCAAGGTCTTGGAGTCGCTGTTACTTAGTCGCCTTAAACCCTTCCTTCAGACATCTGACAACCAGTTTGGATTCAAACCCAAGCATGGTATTGATATGTGTGTTTTTACTCTGAAGGAAATTATTGAATATTACAAGGGACTTGGATCCCCAGTATTCGTTTGTTTTCTGGACGCCTCCAAGGCTTTTGATCGTGTCAACCATTGGTTGTTGTTTAAAAAGCTTCTTGAAAGGAATGTCCCGTTATATCGTTATGAGATTTCTGGTATATTGGTATGAGAACCAGACTATGTGTGTAAGGTGGGGTACTAGTTTGTCAACAAGGTTCACTGTCTCCAATGGGGTTCGACAAGGTAGCATTTTGTCGCCTCATCTATTTAACATATATATTGATGACCTGAGTCTAAGACTGAAAAATGCTAGAGTTGGTTGTTGTGTTGGCGGTTTTGTTGTAAACCATTTGCTGTACGCCGATGATTTGTGTTTAATATGCCCCAGTGTTAAATCCCTTCAGAAACTGGTTGGGATATGTGAACATTTTGGCAAGGAGAATGATATTTTGTTTAACACAAGTAAAACTTGTTGTATGTATTTTCCAAGCGTTGGCCTTCCACTTCAGCAGCCTCTGCCTGTTGTAAAAATTTATAATGTGGAGTTGAAATATGTGGATTCTTTTGTGTATCTCGGCATTCTTTTAAATGCGAAGCTCAGTGACAATGACTGTGTTCGAACTGAAATTAGACGTTTATATCGCCATACTAATTGTATTAACCGGAAATTCCATCATTGCTCTCCCGCTATGAAAAAGACTTTGTTCAGGACTTACTGCTCCCAGTTGTTTGGAGTCCAGTTATGGAACTCTGTTCATGCGAGTGTACTAGCTAAGTGCCGTGTTGCATACAACAATTGTTTCCGTATTCTCCTTAAGTTGCCAAGAGGTTGTAGTGCTAGCTCAATGTTTGTACACCTCTCTACCGATACTTTTGATGCGAGGCGCAGGAAATTGTGTTATGCCTTCATCAATAGACTCTACACCTCCAACAATAGTATCATATCCGGTCTTTTGAGGTCTGACTGTCAATTCAGAAACTCGTATTTTAAAAATGTGTACAAACTGTTGTATGTTTAGTATTTCTGTGGTTTTATGTCTATATTGTACTATGGGGATATCCTGAAATAAAGTCATTCATTCATATATATATTCAGAATCATGGATTTTAACCCCCTCTAGAGACATTCTCTAGAGGGGGTTAAAATCCTTGATTCTGAATCGGACTTCTTTGCAAGAGGAGTTAAGGAGGCAGTCTACATAAGAGCTCACAGACCTACCCTGAACAGAGACGGGGGGCGACACAAGTTATCTGGCACGTATGACCCGCTACTACGGTCACGAGTCTCTGACGTCACGTTCCAAGAGTAGACGGGTCCATTCCGTGAACAAGGTTTACGGAGTCAGCTGAAAATTTGGGGTAAGTCCCAATCATTTTATATATAGAGTGTTGGAAGTTAAAGTTTAGTCTTTATTTCATAATGATTTGTACCAACACAGATGAACTTTCATGCTAACAATGTAATCTATTTGATTTGGAAGAAAAAATACATTACTACAATCTACTACTACTACTGCTACTACTACAACAAATCTACACACCTGCATGAAACGATCGATCAGCTGCTTGTTCAAGATTTCTTGAAAGTCCAGAGGAAACAGGCTGACACAGGGTAACACCAGGCTGTGGCCTGTCATGGCACCCAGGTAGCACACCTCAGCTCCTGTCACATCGTCACCGCTCTGTATGCTGTCCACGATGAGGTCCCACAGCTGCCGAGTTTTCTCACTGTCGACAAACGACGGGCTTCTCGGCATCTTGTTCACAGTTTCCATGTCTCTCTATTTAATGTTCATGGGTGATCCTGTAAAAAAAGATTTCAGATGTAAACATTACATCTGATGGAGTGGAGACCGCACCACCATATACAGGAAGCTGTGGCTAAAATTAGACCACATGAAACTGGGTTTCCCATGAAAGTTGGGGAAACTTTATTCAAGTCAAGTCAAGTCAAAGCCTTTATTTTTCTTCGAATGCTTGTTCGACCAGCTTAAGGCCGCTTTTCAACAAGGTCGAAGTTGAGGGGAGGGGTCACGGATAAGAACCAAATCCATACAAACATAAATAATAAGTAAATAAATCAATACAATAAGTAAATGAATAAGTTCACAAATAAATCATTAGGTTTGTAGCCATTTCAAGTCCATGGTAAGTCTCAGTTATGCCTGTTCCATAAGTGACTTGAAGGTATGGATGGATGGTGCTGCCCTAATGTGGGGCTGGATGTTATTCCATACAACTGAGCCGGGAGTAAGCCAAGCTTCTTCTGTAAGCTTCCAAGTGCGGCCTCGGAGGGATGAGACAGTCAGTAGAAGCTGATCTGATTATTTATGACCTTTCGCACATGCAGGTGTCCACGTAAAAAAAATCCCGGGAAACACAAACAAATGGAAATCCCCATGACAGCATTTCCTGAATGGTGACCTGTGGAAGGACATCCTTATCCAATCAGAGAAAAGGAAAGGTCAGCAATAAACATCCGGTTCTTAGTAAACGTGCAAACTTGCATGTGCGTGCGTGACTACAAGTAACTCAAATACTAGTATATAATGATGGTGCAATATTTGAACAGACCTCAAGGGACTTTGGTTTAGGTGACGTGTAAAAGTACGTTATTTAAGCCGATATGCATGAAGAACCGTCACTGGCCAGGCCTTTCTTTAATGTTTCCTGGACATAACTGAGCGTTTACTTTTCCCTGTAGTAGTAGACTGGTTTATTATTAAAATCAAAGACAAATCCAATGGCAGCCAACAGGCTGAATTGAAAGACTTGTGTACAAATTGACAGGCAATATTGATACGCTTAAAATATCTAAGATCATTAAAATCGTAATACATGAGTACAGATAAAAACAATATTCATATGAAGAATATTACTGGGTGTCTCCCCCAGAGGCGCCATATTACGAAGAGTCATTCCGCATGAGCGGAATGAGTTTATATGATATAATGAGCGGCATGAGTTTATATGATACAATAAACTCTGACATAGACATATATAATTAAGGGTTAATGTCCCGCCTCGAGGAGAATATGGTGTGATAAAGTCTTGTCAGTTTCTATAACCACCAAATAAAGCCAACAAGTGAGCGCAGCGAACGAGGTGGCTTTATGAGGTGGTTATAGGCCCGTAGTGGGTATCCTGTGGTGACTACTTGCTCAGAAACTAGGCAAGACGAGTTGGGGACGGCTACTAACGACTGGTACCCAGACAAGACTAATATCTGCAGGTCTAGACCTGCAGTTTGTTTCAGCTGAACTGAAAGACCGGCGCACAAAATACAAACAGTAAAAAAAAAACAACTCACAAAGTCCAAGCACCATGTACAATTAATAAATAAAGAAAACAAAATTATGCAAACAAGAAGGGGGGGAATAAATGGCCATGATGCTACTTTACATTACAAAAGGCATATTGGAGGGGGGGGGACGTGTGCGGGCGTGTACGACTGCTAATGAGGACTGCTAATGAGGAAGATAATTAGGTGAAAATTACCGCTAATTTATGCATATTTCATATACACACAGAGGTACGTGTCACGTATCCGGTCGTGTGCGGAGATTTACGGGTGGCGTGTGCAGGCGTGCGCAGGCCCGTACACAGCCCGGACACCTGAGTGGTTCATATCCGGGCCGTGGGCAAGTGTGCGGGTCGCGCACACGTGGAAATGTCCGTATACTTGGAATTTCCGGGCGTGTACGGTACGGGAGTATACAGGCTTTTCACTAGCGCCATGTTGGAGTACAGTGATGTCTGTTAAACATGCCAACATGCTGCTACTTAATCAATTTACCCGCCAACACCTGGTCGCCGGGATTCAAATGGTAATTATCATGACGTCAATGAAAAGCCTCTATACGACCCGGAAACGTCGGTTTTTATCCAGTGAAGGAAACAAATGTAAGAGTGATGTCAAGGCCAATGCCAGATGGTAGCTAGATGACCTAAGTTCCGATGGGTGCTCTTACAAAGTTCGTAGAATTAGCCGCCGATGTTGGAGTTGTACGACCCGAAAGAAAGACACAGGAGCCGACAGCTACGTGGAAACTCTGTATTGTCTTTTCTGAACTGACTGAACTCAACTAGCTACAAGAGTACACAGGCTTTTATATATTTCGCCCTCCTACACACAAATTTCTTGGAACAAGTTGGATTCTTTGTATATTAGTCATCGTGAGTCATATCCTCTCCCTAAATTCTTAAGACATTACCGGTCAGCTCCTTGTATCCCCAAATATGGTTATACTCAAGGGTCGCCTACACTTTCCCAGACGACAGAAGGGTTCCGAATTCAATGACTCACGGTTGCACCAGGAAATTGTACCATAGTGCAACAGAAACTAATATTATATATATATATAGCAAAAATTATAACATATCAGGTCAGAGCACCCTATTACACAAACAAGCGGTCTTATGTTACTTGAAATTAAGTTGAAATTTAGATTTGCGCCTGAAAAACAGGGAGGAACAAATAAAAATAAAAACTACTGGTCATGGTCATGCTGAAACAGTTTCGACGAAACGACGACAAAAAAAAACACCTGTTCGTGACTTACGTCGGAGTAAAACGGTAAAGCGCCGTAGGTTACGATCAAACCAAGAAAACTTACGTGTGAACTGGATAAGGGACTTTGTCTTGAAGCACAGGGGTGCACTGTGGTCTTGAAGTAAAGAAGCCTGCAGAAAAAAAGACGCCTGCTATAAACTACGTTTCTGACGTGTCAGATATTTTGGGCGGGACGGGGAATCCCCTTTTCGTCATCTCGCATGTTCCAAATGTAAAAGGGGGTGTTTTCTTTAGTTTATACCAGGTTTTGGCTTCCTTAGTTATCAATAATTCCTACATTATTTTATTATAATGCCTATTTATATAAATTAGATCATAATGGTAATAAGTTTGATACGTTCTGAATTAGATTTTAAGTATCCTCTATAGCACTTTAATGGACTCGTCTATTCATACAATAGAACTAAGCATCCCATTGGTCGCCCATATTCGCACATTCATGGTCACAAGACCTTTTATTTTTTTCTCGTTTTTTTCCACTTTATGAATCATCGCCTCGAGTAATCAAAATCGCACACCTGGATGCCACACCCTCATTAGTCCTCACCTGCGTACATGTACAGCTGCAACATAACCATGTTACTGCAGAAACACAATTTCCCGCTAATGACTACGTCAAACGCTATAAATTGTGATTTTCTGCATCACATTACTTCTACCCCCTTCACAAAATGCATTCTCATTTACACACATACTCACAATAATAACACATGACACTTGTGTGGGAGGGAGAGCGCCGCCTGGTTCAGGCGCTTCATTTTGTCGAACGTACAAAGTTAGGGATAGAAATACTGAAAGCTTAAATCCCTAAAGCCAAAGTAACTGCTAACCTATGTTGCAAGAGATCCTTAACATACCCATCTTTAGCATTCTCGCTTTTCCACCTTCCATGTCTTTTGAAAAGTCTGTCTGGAATCCCTGCGTTAGCTGCTGCTGTCGCTCCTCCTGCTCTTAGGGAATGTAAACCAAAGGATGAAACATCTTGTAATACAGTTTTTAGCAAAGCCAGCACAATCTCCCTGGCTCTTGTGTAGCTAATCCCTCCTGATGGTCGAAGCTTCCAGCCTGTCTTGCATCTAGAAAGCCCTCTAAAAAGGTAACTATCAGAAGTCAGATCAATATCAGCTAAAGTACAATACTTCTCTAGCATATGTATGCATCAAAATATCTTTACTACGATAATGTCTCCCACATATGAGTTTCAGCTTCTCGAATGACCACTCGAATCGGAGAAAATGAACGAGTAACTTATTACAGAGGGTAGACTTATAGTCTTATACGTTAAAAATAGGCCACTATTTTGGCTGTGAATCCAATCAAAAAATCGTATATCAAGAGATTTTTTGCTTTCTATAGCAAACACACGTATCATGTAAACAATGAAAAAATTTTTCCCCAATTCTAACAGAATTCTGACAGGATCAGGCAGGCAGGGAAGTTTCGGCATCCGAGCGATTGTCGGACGTACACGAAGAATCAGAAATTCGCAAAAGTACCGAAGTAACGGGTTCCTTTCACAGCACTAGGTGTACAGACCGTGGACGAAGTTACGTCAACACTGGGTCCAGTGTCAGAAATTCTATTTATTTTCCGGCGCCGAAATAGAGGGGAGGGGCACACGTGCGCATCGCCAGGATCGAGGCGAGACATCCGCATATCCGCATTTGGGCCGCTTATTTTTTAAGAATCGTGGGCTTAAGTGTAGTTTACGGCCGCAAACGTCGGTTTTTCATCCCGACAAAATTACTGTGCGTTGACGATAAAAAAAAGAATCACATTAACTCGGAGACTAAAATTAAAAGCCTGGAAAGAAGTTTTATTCAACATCTTGGGCGCTTTCAGTCCTTTTATAAAAGTGGCGAATTTAGGGTACACCTACACAAATATACACAATATTACGTCGCGTTATAACCGACATGACCTTTGCCCTTGATATTCGATCAATCACCATGGTAACACGTATGTAAAAAGTCAAACAAAAACTCTTATGATATAACGGCAAAACGCGTCTTGGCTCTTAAAATTGGCCTTTAAAATATAAGATTTGAAAGAAAAGTGGCGAATTTAGGGCCCCCTCCGTTACAGGGTTTATAACGCATTATGTCTATGTCCCTGGTATAAACAGGCCCCGCGGACCACAACGTATACAGAATCTGAATGAAAACCGACCACCCGCACGCGAGATACAGCTGCGTACATAAAATAGCTCGGTCCACATTACCTCTACGCGGAAGGATATCTCCTTCCCCGGAGCTACGTGCAGGATACCTCCCAACCGCAGTCTGTCACCAAGTGTTAATACCTAGAGAGATCATTGACTCTGAACGGAACCAAGTGAAAAACTGAGCACCTAGAGACCACGTCTAGCGACATAATAGACGTTAAACAAGGACAACAACAACAACAACAACAACACATGGAAAATACATACAATGGCTCTTCTTTTCGCTGAAGAGAATATCGTTGCGATCACCAAGTTTCACAAATCGAAATAAGTTTTTGCAGTCCTTTAACAGAAGGACAAACAATACATATATCGTCTGCATACAAAAAATGGTTCACAATAGTACTGCCAATATAGCTGCCGACACAGCTCAAGTTCAGCTCAACACTAAGGTCGGAAATGTAAACATTGAAGAGAAAGGGAGACAGTACGCTACCCTGTGGCACACCGTTACTTGCAGTAAAATTGTCAGAAAGGAAGCTGCCCCAGCGCACCCTAAAAGTCAGAGTATTATACCAGACTACGCCTAAGTTCCGATGGGTGCTCTTACAAAGTTCGTAGAATTAGCCGCCGATGTTGGAGTTGTACGACCCGAAAGAAAGACGCAGGAGCCGACAGCTACGTGGAAACTCTGTATTGTCTTCTCTGAACTGACTCAACTCAACTAGCTACAAGAGTACACAGGCTTTTATATATGTCGCCCTCCTACACACAAATTTCTTGGAACAAGTTGGATTCTTTGTATATTAGTCATCGTGAGTCATATCCTCTCCCTAAATTCTTAAGACATTACCGGTTAGCTCCTTGTATCCCCAAATATGGTTATACTCAAGGGTCGCCTACACTTTCCCAGACGACAGAAGGGTTCCGAATTCAATGACTCACGGTTGCACCAGGAAATTGTACCATAGTGCAACAGAAACTAATATTATATATATACAGCAAAAATTATAACATATCAGGTCATCAAAGTTACAAGCGGGGAAACCCCTTCAAAACGTTGTTCCCATGTTTAGTATCGACAACAGGTCAAATTTAGAGAAAGAACGAGTTTGCTAAACGCTGTACGCGGAGTAGAATTTGTCCTGATCGGGACGCGGGACTCTCCCACCGTATCGGTTACTCAGCGCCTCACAACAAGTGACAGTTGGTGGGCAGACAGTACTATTAGATCTTGCCATAGGAACACATGCTTAAATACACTATTTCAACACCTCATGAAAGTACTTGCCCATACTCCAATCTCAAAAAATTTTCTGCACCAGGTAGCAACAAGGGTCTGATTCCCAAAAATAGAGAGGAAACAGGGGGTTGACCACCTCAAATTCCCGCCACAGCTGATGATAGTAAAAAAACCTCAACTTTGACCTACATTTTCCATGGTATCCATCCGCCTGGCCAGACAAGACCTAACCACTCACATCTCTCACTACGCCCACTAAACTGGTGAAATAAACAAAACTTGACCAATGTAGGAAAGTTTAGACCCTACCTGTGCCTTCCAGCCCAAAAATCTCCAAAATGGACCAAAAATTTCAAGAGAAAAAAAGGTTTTCAAAGGTATTAACTAGGCACTACAATCGTGTTCCCATTTTGAGGCCTCTACTGCGCAACGCAAATGTGGTGTCTGCCCTTCTGGAATACAGAAAAAGAGAGTTGAGGAAAACCTACCCCCCTGGCTGACACACTGAGGGGTTGTGATTATGTTCCCCAAAGATGAAGTTCATTGATACCTCCCTTGGGAATTGAGAGCCAGCCTCATACCCAGTGTCTGTGCCCTATCCCGAGGCCTGTACAGCAGTGTGACAGTATACCTACCAACATCACATGACTTTTTACAAATTTCACAGGGGTCTATCTATCAACCAGTCTCATTCAGTACTCACCATAGTCTGTTCTACCACTTTGAAGAGAAAAAACTACATTCCAATAGAAAATTTTCTTTTTCTTTCAACTTTTATACCAGCTTTCTCACTATACTATACTAATGAAACCCCCCAAATTCACACACATACAGCTAAGAATACACAGCTGGAAACCCCCTGCATACCCCAAATCCCCTTTCTGTAACAGAATATATTGCCTGTATTGCAACCATGCCATATACAGCAATATCCATCCGTATTTTCGTCCCAACAAACAGTAAAAATGACTATTTTTGTGTGCTGAGGGGGGGGGGTGTCCCTGAGGCAGGGCACATTTTGATTGACAGCTGTTAATTGGTGAAAAATACTATGTTATGAACCATCATAAATCACTTAGTCCATCATTTGCAACAAACCTATATGACTTTTGCAGTCATCTAAGCTTTCCAAGCTGTTTGTTGCAACTTTTAATTATCCAGTATACACACAGCCCATAGGTAAATAACAGCATATCATACTGAGATCACACTTTTGCTAAGAAAACATAGCTAAAACATGCACCCATATTCTCCAAATCAGTCATCATCTAACAACAGGTACCAGTAGCTGATATTGAAAATAAAAATTACCAAACCTAATCCAGTTAATGAGTTTGGGTAAAAGGGGGGGG